CTTTATTTTGTGATTATTATTTATAATTTAGGATGAGAAAGGGAGCGTGGTGGAGTAATGCGCTAGTAATAGCGAGTAATTCTCTTAACAGATAATATCTAAACAGGTTTTTACGATTTTATTTTTGAAATAACAGGCATTTTTTTTATTATTATTTAATAAATATAGGAAAATATTCTAACTTCTAGCTTAAATTAGTTCAACTTATCTTGAAGTTTCCCACATGACTTATTAGTTATTGCCGTCGAGTTTTTTTCAAAGCTGATAAAAAAGCAATTATACTCATAATATAAACAGATTTTGTGAAATTGAATGCCTCTTTTTGAGTCTTAAGTATCTATATTTTGTCTCAACTGGCTCACTGATTATGGCTTAGAGAGAAAAAATAAAACTGAAAAACTACACTTGTTAACTTCGGTCCAAGAAAACCTTATACAGCTATAAGTTATAAGCTTTAAGTTATGTTATAAGACTGTAATTCTTACTCAAAGAAATAACAACTTTTTTTTCAATTCTTAAAAAAAATTATAATGTTTTTTGGAATCAATTTTACTAACAAAATTAGCAGAATAAATAATTTCGATATCAAATAAGACATAATATCGTAAGTTTACAACCTTTGATGAGTATAATTATCACAATGACAACTATTTTAATTCATTCAGAATCGAATATACTAATATTTGTCAATAACTTTACTCTTCAATACTTAATTTTTTAAAACTGTATAATGTACAATTTTGTTATGCAGATTAAATTACCAGGTATTTGAGAAAAGTAAGTAAAAAATTATTTCTTAAAAAATTCTGTTTTTAACATTTGGTAGATAGAAATCGTTTTGGTAACTAGGGGGCGCCACATTTTAAGTATAATTTGTGTAGCATACAGTAAAATAAAATAAATATGTATTAACACTTTCAAATACGCAAACGCAACCTGGTGGTCTATTGCAATACCATTGAATACAGAATGAAATATACTGTAATATGGCTTATTATTATTGTTTTTAATTACTAGTTTTTTTTAATGTAGATGTATTCAATGAATGAATGTTATTATTCTTGTATTAACTATACTCATTTTTACCATAATTTAGTAACTAACTATTATAATAACTACTTGTATTAAAGATTTTTTTCTGTATTTATTTTTTATGTATGGATTTATAATTCCCACTTTCTTTCTATACACAGCTTTTTAATAATATAATTTGAACCCCTTCACAATATAATTCCAGATATGCTTTTTTCCAACTTAGTATATTTACTTTCAATTCAACATTATAATAATTTGTCTATTAGAAATCATTTCATATCAATTTCAAGCTTTATCTATTCATAGTCTTGGTAGAAAAACATTTAGAAATATGAATAATGAAAAAAAAATTGCTCATCCATAGTAAATTTGTTTCCTATAAGCGAACATGACATTTTATATGAATTTAAAAACTATCCAGTATTAAATTTGGGAAATTGTTGTGAAAAACTTATGTCAAAACTTACTGTATTTGAAATTGATGACATACGCATAAGAACAGAACAGATAGACTTTTCTGGCAGTGTAAGACAATTAGGGTCATAGGAAACCGGTGTTATTCACTTTATACATATCACATATGGCCAGCATTCTAAATCAGACAGTTAATGGACCTTAAAAGCCAGTAAATACTTCTGGGCCCAAGTATTCACAAACAAATTTGTTCAACTTTTTATTAACATTAAATTTGAAAAAACAGCTGGACATTTGTATAGGCATTCAGAAAATTCAACAAAATGTTGTTAAAAGTGGTTTTGTAACATGAAAAAACACTCCTTGGCTGAGATAGTTTAAAGATGAAGTAGTGTTAGATAATTAAAATATACCTATCAAATTACTTGAAATTAGATGTCCTTTAAAGGTAAAACTACCTAGTATCTAGTAGACTTATTAGATAGTCTGCTTTGTATAATTAAAAGTCAAGAAGTAGAATCAACTTAAAGAGAAATATACATATTTTGCACAAATATAGTTGGGTATGATAATGACAAATGTAGAACAATGTGATTTCATTATATAACTATAATAAATCTGAAACTTATTTTATAATTAATGTAAAGTTGATCATTAATTACTGTAAAAATATTATTTTATTTAAAAACTATTAGGTACTTTTGAACATGTGTTACACAATGTTTGCATTTTAAATAATGATAATAAATTTAAATAATAAAATTCTAAAATTTTACACTATGGCAGTTGTTAGTAATTTTTATATTATAATATAGACATAATATTATATCAAAGGAATTATAAAAATATTTTTTTAAGGTATAAAATTAACTAGTGGTGTATGTTGTTTTAATTTATTTTCATTCTGTAATAAAACCATCATATTATACCAAATCATTTTTTCAATAGTCAACTAGGAATTGAATTTTTAAAGAGAAAATATTATAGGATTAGTAAATGGCAAATGCCAAATGCCACTGGTAATCTATCTAACATAATTGCATCATTGCAATTTGCAATCCATCAGCTCTGATCTCAATAGAGTTCCTTTGTTTAAATATAACATTATCGGAAGTTCTACCCCCAATGCTTACCAAAAAATATTTCTAGTCCAGTAGAGAATACACCAATAAGAAATTTAAAGGTGAAATTCGACTTGTAATTGCATTTATTACTGTATAAATTTATTTTACATGAGAGTCATTTAGGTTTTTTCACTGGTATTTATGGACAATTAAAAACTAATCAAACAGCAAGAAATTAGAATATTAAAATGTATATTTAATAACAATTTTACACTAGCATACTATTAAGGCGCATTATATAAGCAATTTTTAATATAAACTTAACATTAGGCTAAAATAATTGTTAAACATATATAATACCATGGGAAAGAATATGAGCTATTTTAAAATTTTAATATTTCATTTTTGTTTTCAAATTTTATAACGCATGTAGAATCTATTTTTGTGCAATTACTATTTTTGTATTTTTGTTTCTACTTCAAACGTACTGTTCCTAAGAATACTTCGATTTAAGTTTTGAAAAAACATTTAAATTCTTCATGAAATGATATTATATTATAATGATAAATGACATTTTCAAGGCATCAGACATGGCACAATTTTAATACTAATTGTTAGTTAATTTATTATTTCAATGTAAAAAACTGTAATTTTTTACTTTTTTAAACTGAAATAATTATTAAAAATTATTTTAAAACCATGCCACGATCATTGCCTAGAAAAAATTATGATGAATTCAAACAATTTTTTTAAATTTATATCGGAGTATTCTTAGGAACAATACGTTTAAAGTAGAATGAGTTATTTTTATCCAAAAATACATAGGTGTAGAAGCCATTTAAGTTTACTTGAAAGTTTTTGGTTTTTTTTTAATATCTTCTCTTACTAAGTACAAAATATAAAAAACGTTTAAAATGTTTAAAACTTCAAATTTTAAATCCAAATTTGGCAAGGGTTGAAATTTGAAACTGAAAAATGCAACACCCATTTCCAAGAAACTTGTATGATAAACTCAAATCCGTTTTCAAAAATCTAATCGGATGTTCATGTCAGCCCGTATGATAAAAAAAATGACGTGGTTTGCCTAAAAAAATAGTCTGTATACCCCTTTAAAAATACAATTTTATATGTTTACTACCTACCCAGACAGCAAAGAAATGTTTCTGTAATGTTTTAATAAAACTTAGTTTTTTTATAGCAACTTTTGAAAGTTATAAGGTAACACATACATTGCATTAACTTTTTAAATTAAGTATAATGTACTAAAAATGTTGACTGGTCGATAACCAGATTTGGATAACTATTTAAGATGTTATTGAAGTTTTAAGTTTAGGGCAGAAGGAAAGGTGGAGTGTAGTATTATTTTTATCTGCGCGCATTTCCCAACCGCACTTCCCCTCCTATTATAACTTTCAAACTCTTATAACTTTAAAAATAGTGGTTCAAAACTGGTTATCAACCAATCCAAATTTTTAGTAAAATATTCTCAATTTAATGTTAATAAAATGTATGCGTTAACATTTAAATTTCGAAAGTTGCTATCAAAAAATTTGGGAGGGGTAAAAACAAAAAAAATTTCAAAAACTCAAACCACATTGTATAAAAACATTATGGAAAAAAAAATGTCTTATTAAACCCTATGAAATATTGAGTGATTCACGATAAAATGATCACATGTATACAGAGCAACTAATTTAACGTAAGACACTACATTTCTCGAAAACTATAAAAAAAAATATATAATTATAATTATATAATTGTAATTTTGTCGTTTTTCTTTTTGAAAATAGTTTTATTTATGTAATATTACAATATTATAAAAATATAAAAGATACACGTTAAGTGTAAGAATATTAAAGTAATTATTCAAACCTGTTTATCGATCAGTCCAAATTGTCAGTGAAATTATTCAAAATGTTAATAAAATAGATTTATGTGTTATCATTAAAGTTTCCAAAGTTGATATAGCTCTTAAAAATTTTAAAAAAGATAAATATTAAAAATTTATCAAATATTGTAAAATGTGTAATATAATGCCCTTAAAAAAAAGAAAAAATTAGTAAAGTTAAATAGATCACCTCCAGTTATAATACAAATACATAAAAACATGTATTGTAAACTATTGTACTCATCAACTAACATTCTTTATTACTTTTAAAAATGTGGTCTTGAAATCGTACTTAGACTTTATCAACTAATAACATCTAATACATTTATCAATAAACTAAAATTGTCATTTTTAACTACTTTAACAATTTCTAAAAATATTGATGTTATTTTTAATTTTTGTACACTTAAATCACAAAATTTAAAATTACGCGCGTTTAAAGTTTTACAATAATATTAGTATTGTAAATTATTGTAAAATATATTTTATAAAGTAGCAACATGACAACAATTTGTTGACAGTTAAAACTTTCACGTTGGCTACACTGACAATCAACTTTTTGTTTGTCGGTTCGTCGTATAATAGTTGAGTGATGACATTAGGCGACGATTTTTTATTTAATAACGTGTTGTGTGATTTTGAGTAGTGAGTACTATTGCGTTGTGATTTTTTTGGTTTGATGATTATTTCTTTAGGTTTCGGGATTAACTCTATGTTTTATCCCAATTGATAATTATTGGTTTTCAACTTTTAAAGTTTATATTGAACAAGTACGTTACTAAGATTTAGAAGTTTATGTACAACTTGAACACAACTCTAACACAATGGAAGAAAAGTAAGTAGATACAATTATTGGTTAAATTGGACATAATCAAAACAAAGTTTTTTAACGTTCTTTGATACGTAAGGTTTTAGAATAGTAATAATAACTTTACGTGTCAAACGTTCAAGTAATTAAAATAACTTGTTTTAATTTTTTTTTACACTTGCCTATTTTGCAAGCCTTTTGAGTGATATTACCTTATGTTTTTAACTGTTAAAATAATTGTGATATGAGCAATTCTTTTTAAGAGAAATTATAGTTAACACAACTTGTTATAGTATTAACACATGTTAATTCATCAATCTTAATACCTACCTACCTAATACATAAACTATTTTTCTTTATTGTTAGTAGAATGTTTTGTAACAGATTAGTTATAGAAATGCTATTATGCTATATTATTATGTAAATTTACAATTAGTATTTTATTGTTAAAATTAACATTTTGTACATCTAATTAAGCTTATGTGCTTGTATTATATGATAATTGAGATGTAGGTTTATTTTAAAGTTTTTATAAAATACTTAAGATCATAAATATTAAATTTCTTTATTAAAAGCCTCAAAAACTAAGGTTAATGGCCTGGATTTTGGGTATATTTATATTGTTTATTTAAGGTTAAGAGGCGGATCATAATATTGATATTAATATATGATATGGATCTTAGTGTTTTGTTCAGTAATTAGGCTATTTTGATAAATTTGATGGTTTTTTGAATATTTTTTGGTTAGTTGTATAAACAGGCGAAAGTAATAGGAAAACTTAAACTTCTAATGTTTTAATATTTGTGGCATTCAATATGTATATGTTAAACTGGAAATTCAAACTAAGGTTTTGCAAGGTTTATATCCATTAATTAGATATTATCCCATAATTTTACAATTTTGATTTTACAGAATGACATGAATATTTACTATGTATATATTTACACAATATATGTTACATTTGCTGGCCATGTCATCTATTGAATCACATAGCTAAATTTAATTAAGATTTATAACAGTATTACAATATTTTTTTATGTATTCTATACGAGTTACAGATTCTATATGTAATTTTTAGTTAATTATTAAAATGATAAGTTTTTAGTTTTACTAGTTACATTTTTGAATAATAAATAATTAGTTTTAAAGTCATTACATGTTGTGCATTAAAATATTATTTTTAAGTATAGACTTGAATAAAACATTATTGTCAATGCCTTCGGTAAATAATTAGTGGTCATCATTCTGATTTTCTTGAAAACACTACAGTGAAAAGTTTTAGGACACTACACCACTAATTTCTAAGGAGTAAAGTATAGGCACGTTAGGGTTTGTAATATTTTTTTGGGTTGTCGATGTATTATGTGTTTAAAAAGTATTCTCCACAAAATGTAAGTAATTAGGCTATTTAAAAAAAAAAACGTGCTGAACACTTAAAGTTTAAAAATATCTAAAAATTTTGGACCAATAAAAGCCCTAGTTTCAGATGCAATTTTAGATCTGTAAAATATATAAATGATGCTCCATGTAATGTTTAGGAAATAATGTCTTATTATTGTGGGCCCAGACACAAAAAAAAACAATACCATTTAACCTTGCATTGAAGCTAAAAATAGAACAATTATTTATTTAATGATTAGTAATAATTTACTATACATTTTTGTACCACATAACTAAAATAAATGGTATTAGATAAATAAAGAATTAGACACTCCTAAATTTGGTGTTTGGTGTAAATAAATGTATTCTGTCATAAAAATTTACCCAAGCCACACTTTATTGAAGTGTCACTGGAAAACGCTTGGGTGAAAGAAGGTTAAAATAAACAAAAACTATAATACCACAATTTTCTACTCATTACTTGACATAAATATATAATTTGTTTTAATTTAACACATAAATTAAAAAATTAACTTCTTAAAACATGTGTATTTATAAAAATATTATTTTCTAGAGTATGTTCTGATATTAAATGTTGGACGGACAGCCAATTTTATTTAGGTATTTTAAAATACCTAATATTTAATATGCTACGGTTGTTCTTTTGTGTTACGGCATATCTTATGCGCAAAACAAGTTCTATTTTTGAAAGACTATCAGAAAAGTTTAAGGTAGTTGAAAACTTACAAATTGTTAAACATGAACAGTCTAATGAAGAAAGGTAATATATCATACATAAAAGTTAAAACTAGAAAAACATTATTCATCTAATAGGCTACTACTAATTTCTTAAGAGGGTGTCGCAGTGCCCATTTTTAAGGAGTAAAGTATAGGTATTTTTTTACAAAATCTTAATTTAAAGGTTAAACTGTGATGTGTAATTATTAGTTTAATAACTAGGACTCTATTTCGGTAGTTAATTTATTATTTGGACTACCACAGCATCCTTGAAAGCGATTTAAAAATGTTTTTTCATCTCTACGTGTTTAAGCAGACTGAAAATAACTCTCTTAATTTTGGTTTTAGAGTAAAAGCACCCATTATAAAATTAAAAGAGAACAATATTCTGGAGGGCAAGACAGTGCGTTTTTTTCAGTATTCCAAGTATAACGCTCAATACATAGATAGATTAGAAATAACGACTATTTTAACATTTTTAAATGTCTGTAACTTTTCAAAAAATGATTTTTTTTTTTAAACCGTCTTGCCCTCCGGAATATTGTTTTCTTTTAATTTTTTAATGGGTGCTTTTACTCTAAAACCAAAATTAAGTGAGTTATTTTCAGTCTGCTTAAACATGTTTTTACCGCTGAAAATCACCGGTGCGACGCCCTCTTAAATTATAAATGTTTTAATAATTCACATACTCATGTACATACAAATTTCTATTGCAGCCCAGAGAGTAACACCAATCTTCAAACTCCAGTTAATCAAAATATAAACAATAATAAAGATATAATTTGTCTAAATGATGAAGTCAAAGATAATGAAGAAATTTCTAACAACAAATTAGAGTCTGAAGAAATATTAGAATCAATGTAAATTATTTTATTACTTTTACATAATAACTATGGCAAAATATTTACCCCAACAGCAGACATTTTTTGATAGTAAATTATCTAAGTTAATTTTAATAAAAAATGTAACTGAAATAGTATCCGAGGAAAACAGTTAATTAAGACTTTCTTTAATATCATAACATACATGATTTGTTGTATTCCAAAGTTTAAATACGCCATTTATTTCTCAAAATAATAGCTACATTTCTATTACGTGTAACACTATATGAAATATTCTGCCAATTATAACTATAATATTTAAAAAAAAAAATTGTTTTTTTTTTTCTCTGTAGTTCTGTTAAAGAAACTCCAATCAATCAAGACATTGAAAAGAAGGAAAAAAATTCATTACTTGCAGGCAATCTTGATGATACAAATGATAAGATAAAGAATAAGTATATATTTATTTATTATCCTCAAAAAAATTGTTTTCCTAATATTATTTGGTTCATTTTTGGCATAAGTATAATTTGATGTAATTCTAAAAAAATTGTTCCCATAAATTTAAAAGAAGTAGAATCAAATGTCCCTAGTTGAATTTTAAAAAAATTATTAGATTATTATGAATTGAATTATTGTGTTTCTACTATCGAATAATATCCATTTATGTAGAATATAATTTTATGTATCTAGTTTTGATAAACCCTACTTCACGTGTCCAACAAAAATACATGCGAAACCTACCAACAATTCATAGCACGAGTTACTTAATAAAATTGTTTATAATACATGTCTTTTAGTGTTATGTATAACATGATTAGTTACACTAGCATTTATTAACCTAATAAGTTCAAATGACCATCAAATTTTGCAAAACCCTATTGTAAGAGTAGAAAGTTTTTTTCCACTAAAAATAAACTTAGTGGCTACAAAGATGAAATTTAAACTGAATACATGCCATTTTTTAGCGTTGAAACCCTGATCAATAATGATAACAGTAGTAAAGAAACAGATAATAATGAAAAGATAAATATAAACAAGAGTAATGAAAAGCAAATGACTACTGTAGAGAAAAACGATTCAAGGTAAAATGTCAATTATACATTGTAAAAATAATACAAATTTTATGTCAGTAATTTTTTAATGCACTAAAAATTCTTTTAAAATGGATTGCACAGTGTTGGTCTACATTTCATTAATAAATAGAAACTAATCAATTTTACAAAACCTTATTTTAAAAATAGAAATTTTTTTTTTCACTCAAAGTAAACTTAGTAGCTACAAAGATGATATTAAACTAAATACATGCCATTTTTTAGCGTTGGAACCCTGATCAATAATGATAACAGTAGTGAAGAAACAGATAATAATGAAAAGATAAATATAAACAAGAGTGATGAAAAGCCAATGATTACTATTGAGAAAAACGATTCAAGGTAAAATGTTAATTATTCGTTGTAAAAATAATACAAATTTTAGGTCAGTAATTTTTTAATGCACTTAAAATTCTTTATAAATGGATTGTACTGTGTTCTTACTCAAAGAAATAACGACGACGATTTGATATCAAATAAGACCTATCGTACAACCTTTGATGAGTATAATTATCACAATGACAACTATTTTAATTCATTCAAAATCGAATATACTAATATTTGTCAATAACTTGACTCTTCAATACTCAATTTTTTTAAATTGTATAATATACAATTTTATTATGCAGATTAAATTACTAGGTATTTAAAAAAATTAAGTAAAAAAATACTAAACCTACCAACAATTCATAGCTCAAGTTACCTAATAAAATTATTTATAATACATGTCTTTTAATGTTATGTATAACATGACTACCTAGTTACACTAACATTGATTAACCTAATAAGTTCAAATAACCATCAAACTAATTAAATTTTGCAAAAATTATCATAAGAGAAGAAAAAAAAATTTTCACTAAAAATAAACTTAGTGGCTACTCGCTACAAATATGAAATTTAAACTAATTACATGCCATTTTTTAGCGTTGAAACCCTGATCATTAATGATAACAGTAGTGAAGAAACAGATAATAATGAAAAGATAAATATAAACAAGAATGATGAAAAACCAATGATTACTATTGAGAAAAACGATTCAAGGTAAAATGTAATTTTTTAATGCACTAAAAATTCTTTAAAAGTGGATTGACAGTGTTGGTCCACATTTAATTATTAAATAATATTTTGTTTCGACAAATAACCCACAGTTTGTCAAAAAGACCACAGTCACATTGTGACTCAGTTACAAAATGTAAGTCGCACTTTATTTAAGCAACTAACTGATTTAATTAGGTGGTTAATTAGGTGTCTGATAGAAATCTAAATAATTAGGTGTATGTGGGATGTTTTCAATATCTTATACTTTTAGTAGTTGTTTAATTGAATTGAAAATGGGAAACTTATTAAAGTCATCTTATCCCTTCAAGTTTATCAATATTAATTTAATTTTTTTTCAATATTAGAATTGTGGGATGCTTAGAACACCCCTAGGTATGTATTTAAACTTTAAATTAAAACAAAATAACGAATAACGAAAGATATATTTTTATTTATCACTTCATCTAGATATAAAATGATTTGAATAGTTAACTCTGGTAGATATTTTTATAATAAATACTTATTATCTTTAATTGAATTTGAAAAATGTTCACGTTTTTGGTGATATCCGGTTTGCTAAACAATCTTATGCTTCTTCTTCTTCATGTAGCCTCACAACTCTGCAAGAGTTTTGGCTGCCACTATCACTGTCTTCCACAGTGCACAGTCCATCATCATAAATTGTTTATTTTTACTTGTCTTGTACCAGTCCATTTCACCTCTTGTGATGCTGCAATTATTATATTGTACTCCTTTAGTACATCATCTGGATTCTGACAAACTCTAGTGCAATACAAACTCAGCGTGTTTCAAGTCGCAATCTTTATCTCTTTAGATTTCCGTTTTCCATTTCCAAAAAAATTTCCAGGTTACCCAATTATTCTAACGTTTTTTTTGGTTGTGGTCCTTATAGTGTAAATGATATAATATTAGTAAAAATGTGAATTTTTCCCTGGAGATTATTAACGATTTATAGAAAATACTTTATTTTTACTTTAACCCTTGGGCGCGCGCGTGTTTTTTTTGGAAACTGGCATCTAAATATAAACAAGCTACGAATTCGGGGAGTCAGTGATAATATAGTTGTAGAATAATACCTGCCCGTTATCTAGGGATTGTATCATGTACTAATGGAGCAGTCTCAGTTTTGGTAAAGCTTGCTGCACAAAGTGCCGTCGTATGGATGCCCGAGGCTTAAAACCATTATAACATCATATTTTATTGTGTTAAAAATTGTCTTCAAAAAAATTTAAAAATGCAGCTGAACTTTGCTTAAATTTTATTTTATTTTTCTGTAGGAATATTTTTATACATTTTATGTACTGTTACATTAATTTTAAAAACTTCAATATAATATTAAAATTACCTACATTTCTGTTGCAGTCCAGAAAGTAAAAATTTAAGAATAAATGCACTTCGTATAATAAACAAAACTTTAAAAGAAAATGTAGAAGCTGATTATCGTGTTATTAACAAAACATCGAAAGAAAATGAAGAAGCTAATAATCGTATTGTTAACAAAACCTTGAACAATTATGAAGAAGCTAATAGCCGTTGTATTAACAAAACCTTGAAAGAAAATGAAGAAGCTAAAAAAAAGTTGGCGTTGGATGCAAGACCAAGGTAAACTGCCATTATAGTATTATATGAAATTATGTGTTGTTATTTAAGGTATACCCTATAGTATAGGTTTTTATATAAATTATACAAGTGAATAAAATTATAGGTTTATAGTTGAACCAAAAATAGAGCTGGAGTAACCATCATTTATGTTGAATTTGATAAATTATTAATGTTGTTTTATTATTTTGTGTTTTAAGGCAAGCTGATAAATCACTGACTAATGCATCCAGATTAAAAGGTAAAAGTCCTATCAACTATAAATCAGATAACCCATGTTATGAACGGTATGAAAGTAATAGAAAAGAACGTAAACAATGGCCAAAGCAGCACCGTTCTGAAAGACTAAATAGTTCTGAACATAATTGCAATAATGCTAAAGATCCATTTTACAGAAATTCAAGAAATCAAAAAGATTATTTTGAGAAACGTGATAATCGAGGTAGACGAACTACATCTTCTACGTCTTCTAGAAATGAAAAGAGGTATTTATCTTATCAAATTCAATTTTACACAATAGACAATAGAGCTTAACCTGTCATTAGTTGTGGGGTGAGCGCGGCTCACTTCATTTCTATTTTAGCTACCACTCAATTTTATATTAAAATCATGAATATGAACACTAGCGCTCACGCCAGTTGTGTTTACATCGCCTTTACTGAAAAACAACACACTGTATTTAAATACATGAGGTCAGCATGTTGCCACATTCTATTCTCTAGTTGATAAATTATCAACACAATAGGCGAAAAAACAAATTTTCTCATGTCAAAATTGGAAGCGATGTGAACACAGTGACGCATTCACTAATTGGAAAAATCTCTAAAAACTACTGGCTCGATTTACACGCGGATTTTTTGAATTTGTAAACATTTGCGGTTGTAGCTGGGACTACAACCTTATAGTTTTTTATTTTTAAAAACACTCCCTCTTGTATTGATATAAGGCAAATGTTATATAGAGGATTTAGAAATATAATTGAAAATGGGGGGGGCGTGGAAATTGAATTGAGCTCACCATGCTGCGACTAACAAGGGGGAGATTTTTATAAACATATTAATTTCAATATATAATGTTCAATAATAAAAAGTCAACAAGGGAGCGCTGCTCACTCTCGCCTTTCTAGTATGTTACAAATATTCATGACAGTTTTTTATATTTTACTAATAATATATGGGTCAAAACGACAAATATGAATAAAAGTTTGGACCAACCCCCGCCGATTTTTTTGAAAATTACACTGCTGCATGTGTATTACGATGAAAAGAATATATATCAAATTTTTTTTGATTGTTTTAGCCATGTTCGTTACAATATTTTTTATTATTTTCTTGAAGTCTTTTTTTTTTTTTTTTTTTTTTTTTTTTTTTATCGTTTTTTATAGTATGTTAGGCCATCAAAAAGTATTATTAAAAATTTCTTATGTAAAAATATTTCAGCTTTCTAAATAAATATTGATTTTTTTTTGTGTTACTCAAGATTTGAGAATTTTTCTAATATTTTTTTTTTTCAGAAAGTTGAGAAAATTATATATATAATGAGTAAACTTCACGAAATTACAAAACTGTTTTTTTAAACAAAGTACAAATTCATAGAAAAGTCAAAAAAACTGCCACAGTGTTCATAATAATTATATGTAAAAATAAGATAATTTTCCGTTTTTTTCGATCCCAATTTGAAATTTACACATTTTATCTAAAATTTTCTCAGCTTTCTGAAATAAAAATATTAGAATAATTTTGGCAACACGAAAAAACTACTTTTTAAATTATAAATTCAAATTTAAGTTATGCGAAAAAAAATCAATATTTAGAAATCTGAGATTATTTTACATAAGAAACTAATTTTTAATAATTGTGTTTGACGGCTGAAGATAGATACTATAATGAAAAGATAAAAAAGAGGTGTCAAAACAAAAACTCAAAATACTTTTTACGACCATGGCCAAAATAATTGAAAAGAAATTTGAGACTGGCAGTTCAACCCTACGTTGTTCAATCTTGTTCGTCGCATGGTGTCGAAACGAGATATTACTTAAAAACACTCACAATTATTTTTATAATATTTAATATGATTTTGCTAAATTTATATATTTTGTATCTATTCATTGACTTACCTTTCATATTTATAATTAACTCATATAATAGGGAGTTAAAAGGTTGATGTATGTTTTATCATTCAGGGTACACGTATTGGCGCAACTAGAGGGGGTACTGAGGAAGTTAAGACGTTTTTAAAACTCTGAAAGCTCCCTCAGAATTTCAGTAAAATTTATAAACCTTACTTGCGGGATTGTCTGTTTTGTTGCTGACATTATTTTAGAGCCTGAACGAGTTAAGAAGGATTTGACCTTTCTCAGCACCCCCTCTAGTTGCGCTAATTTACGGCCCATACACGTTTATGTTACAACACTTTACACAGGGGTGTTCAGTGCACAATACATACCTTCATATTATTTATAGTATGAATATCTTGGAAGATAAGGATTTATAACGTGCTTAACATACATGTTATAAAATATGTGGTCTTATACATTTATATTATTTTTAGTATCGAAATTTTGGAAGTTCATGATGACATTTTTAATATGCCGGCTTCGTATGCTCTTGCACGATTTATATCTGAAGATTTGCAATTCTCTTCTGATACAGCACTTGATTTAAAGTAAGATATATTTACCCTACACTGAGTATATTTTATAAAACCTTATCACTACTATTTTCAGATATAAATATAAGTGTAGTTATGGTGAATTATTGGACCAGCATTTAAAAGTTGGTGATGTTGGCGTGATTAAAAACAATAACCAGTATATATTCTTCTTAGTTACCAAAAAAAAATACGAACTAAGTGTATACTTCACAGATTTGGAAAAAGCATTATTAAATTTGTTAGATCAAATGAAATATTACAAATTGACAAAATTAGCAATATTTTTTTGTGATCAACTACAGCGATATACTGTGCCAGATATAAAAATGTTTCTTACTAAGGCATTTTCTGGAACAAATATTTCAATAAATATCTGCTTATTGCCGGTGGTGAGTTCTATTTCTATTTTTAAGAAAATGTGAAAACTTATCAAATTTGTAGAAAATTAATTGTATACTTTTTTAGAAGGGGGATGTAAAACATTTGCCAATGATCCAGAGAACTAATAAAAATTTGTGGGATATGGAACCTCAAACTGATATTATTATGTTAATAAACATGGAAGAAATGTATAAAGAACATTGGCACGATGAAGTTATTGACCAAATTGATGCAAAATATCCTTTTAAAAAACAGTAAATTTTACTTATCACATTAAAATTAAAATAACCACCTTCTAATTACTCTTTAATTAAATTTAGATTAATAAATGATATCAACATGAAACCTATGGCTCCTGGAGAAATTCGCATGTACAAAATTAATGGAGAGGTATTGATTTGTGTGTTTGTAAAATCTTTGGACAAGGATCGTGATCATTACAAGTCATTGGAAAAAGCTTTTAATCTTATTAAAACCCAATTAAGTGGTTATCGGTACTTAGGACTGCAGCAGAGATCGGCCAGTTCTGAGTATGATTTTGATATTATGTCACATCAGATAATACTCTTGCGTTCGGTTTTCAATAATCAAAATGCTGAGATTTGGTTATGCGGTGATAACGATTCACATAAAGCAATGCAGTATGAGCAATATCAAAAAATTGTTAAAGAGTCTATTGAAGCCAACAAGATTGGATATACTGGGAAAAAAAATTTTAAATCTTTACATTCGGACTTCAAGAGAGGTGGAGTTAATAGTACAGGTATTGTACATGTATCATTACAACGTAATGGTGCAAATAACACTCCTGATGCAACCATTTCTCCAATAATTAAGACATTCAGTGATGAACAAGAATTGAACATGAGAAACAATACAACAGGTAATTGTCTTTAATTTTTGTTATTCGATGATTCATCGAGTTGTAATCATCTGGTTTAACAATTACTGTCTAGATTTAATACTTTTTAATTATAAAAAAATTGCTAGGGGCAACAGCTTTTGAATGACTGCATCATTAAAAACTTTACTTAGAATTATCATTGCAATTTGCATTTCCCAAATATGTTATTTTACAAATTATTTTGTTTTGTTTTTTTAAAACAAATGTATTTGTCATTCAATAAACATCACGTGTTTTGTAGAAGGTGGCCAGGTAATTAAATTAAAGTAAAATTGGGTAATTATGGCGAGCTAATTTAAAAAGCTGATGCCTTAAGCAATAATAACCTCATTACACCTAAATAGCAGTTGAACCGTGGCCTCATAAATAGAAATAATATATGTTGCTGTCTATTTAATTGTGACTCGACTGCTAAATTATGCAATTATAAAATATAAATATATACCTACATTTAAACATATATTACTTTTATTTTTCAGCTAAGTGATACAACAAATTAATTGACTGTAAATTATTGTTAGTTGTTTTTCCTTTATATTAAAAAAAACTGGTCGTTTTTATGTATATTTAATTTTACTGTTAAGAGATTGTTATAAAAAGCTATTTACATTTAATCTTCATGTTATATGAAACTATATTTTAATACTTGATCTGGTTCTCTTAAGAAATATCTTAATTTTATATACTTCAATTTTTAATTTAATAGCGAGCAGCAATATTTTGTTAACTTTGTGTTATTACTCATTTTAATTTGTTATGTTGTAAAGATGCAGCTTTCAAATAATACAATGTTATATCTTATATTAATAATTGACAACTATAGAAATTACTTGTATGTCATTTTGATTTAATTCATATACAAGTTACTAATGAAAGAACTTAATATTCTACACAAGATAAGATAACCATTTATTTAAATGTATATATATATATATAACTATATATATATATATATATATATTAATTATATACGCATATTTATGTACAATACATTTTAGTTGCAAATTTTACAGTTATATTTTTGCTTGTTACAATTTTTATTATATAACATAAAATGTTACATTATTTTTTATTTCTATTGATAAAATTAAAATATATTAGCATATATTAAATGACAAAAAAATGTTTATTACTACCAACATTTTAATAAGTTTTCATATTTAAGTTTTATTAATTTATAAAATTTAAAGTTGTGTGATGAAAGTCAGTACAAAAAATGCTGAATACTCTATTTTACTCTAAATATCCGGGTTTGGCGTTTTTTTTATAGAAAACCAAACTTGCATTGTTAATCCAAACAATGTATCAAATACAAAATCATTAGCAAGAAATTCACATTTAATTCCCTTAATTTAAAAAATAGTGCGAAGTAGAAAAATCTTATTTAAAACAAATTTAATTTAGTAAATACTTTTTTTGGTAAAAAGTACAAAATTAGATTGTTAGGCCTAAGAACGTTTTGATATGCTAATATACTACAGCATTTTTGATATTAAAATATTATATGATACAATTATCTAGGTATTGAGAAACGTTTTATTTTATTCCTGGTTCAGTTATACTATTTAATAGTGTTATAAATAACAAGAAGTAGAATGTAGGAAATCTATGTCTATTTTTTAATGCTACTTCAATGTAACCTATCTATAAATTATTATATTAAATATTAGATTTATGAATAATTGTTTCTGTTGAAAAAGCAAAATTATTCATGCAGTTATTGAAATTAAAATTTTAATAGTATTGCACAAACCTAACTTAAGCTGTAATATTTATGTTTAATAGCTATTTTAAATCAAATACCTTTTAATTCAGGATATATAGGCTCTTCAGTGAATTTAGTCATCCCATACAACAGGTTATCCATCTCTTCATCCCAAGTGGTAACATTTTTGTTACCCTATATTTTTCCACCTCACCATTGACTTTTTTTTAACCTATTCACCATATATTTAATCCCTTTATACTCTGGCAAAATTAATTTCAAATTCTTGAATGCTTTATAAAACTTAATATACTACTAATTTTTTAAACGTAACAAGTTCTCCTCGTCCTGCAACTTTTCCTCAGTCGATTGCATTTCTCACTAATGCCATTCGTGGTTTCCTTTATAGCACAACTGTTGAATGTAAATAGAAGCTATCAAGATTAGTGATAACCAAAATATTTTGTCATGTTAAAACAATGTAAAGCATAGTGTAATCTTCCAAAGCTGTGCTTATACGGGAACTTAGGGTTTTAGAGCGCCCCAAGTGGATAACATTCTTAACGAGAAAACATATGTTGTTCAATCTCCATTCACAATTTGCTCCATTGTTCAATTTAACCGCCGATTAAGTAACGAATATATTGGTTTAACTCGTAGAAAAGATATTAACTATTTAGTCAAAACAGCTGGGTAATGGGTATTGACATAGCTGTCAGAAAATTCGAATATGATCTGAAATGTTTCAATTGTACTTATCTAATTGAATAAGACGATGAATTTTTATATTGGTAAATCGATTTGTAAATGCTAATTTCGTTATGTCTATTTATACTTCGTGCGAATCGTAAGAGGTTATTATGTATAACTATAAATATGAAATATGTTGTAGTTGAGAGAATAAATTTTGTTAATTTTAATCGCTAACCACAGAAAGAGGATAAGTCCATTTTTAATACTATTATTTCTTTATATATCTATGGTTAAAAGTGAAAAAAAATAAATTTTTGTACAAGATGTTACTAATTATCTAATTTTACAAAATATCCAAGACACACCAGCCAGCAACTATAGATCTATTTTTTCCAACGAATGTTTTTCTGTAGAATAATTTAAAATTGGTAAGTAGGTATAGGTATAGTAAATGCCAACCCAGTAGCCATATTTTCCTATTTAGATCAAGTGCCAAGTGGATAACAGAAAATATGGTCACTGGGAAATAAATAATAATGTGAATTAGGACAACTGTCCCATGGAATATTGTGGATTTGGGTAAGAGCGGTGTTATCCCGCTATTAGCTATAGCGTCGGGTTGCTACAGTTACCACGAATGTTGCATGCCACGACTTGTAGTTACTCCGACATTGCTTTATCAGTCATTTGCCACGAATATAAACTACTTCGAATATACAATTACTACGATTAGACGGTTAGCCCGAATTTAACATACCCGACATCGTAAAGTAATTAAATGAATCATACAACAGTTAACCCGATATTGTGATACCACGAAAGTATTTTACTTCGACTATACATGATAAGAATACTTGACCACCGGGCATAATGAATTTAATATGTTATATTACATTATATTAAATTCATTAATTACGTTTTATAGTATATTCTTTACTATCAATTGCACATTTTAATATACAATATTTTTTTTAATTATTGGGTAAAACCCTTTGGCAACAAAGGCCATTGTAAGGGTTTTATTAAAATAGTTAAAATACCTAATTAAATACAATAGACTATACATTTAAAATAGAAAAGTTAGACAAAAAAGATAAGAATTTTATAAACTATTTTTTTAATAAATAATTATATAAATCTGGTTGTAATATAATATAATTTAGAAGGTAGGTGATTGCTTCAAATTGAGGCCCAAGGGTTTTAGATAGATTTTCGAATATATTATTGTTAATTCGTTGTGACTGGTATTATAAACAATTATTTTTAGGTTTTAGAGTCACTTAAAATGGACAATAACTTACATTATCTACATTTTTTGTAGAATCGTCTCAGATATTATTAAAATTTGTATTTTGTATTTCTATTAACTTTTGGCTTCAGTGTTTGTAAAAATAAATGAATATTAACTAGGCACTATATAGCAACGTAATGGATTAAGGGACACCAGCAAGGACCATGGCCCTCCCACTCAGGGCTCATAACATCATAGGGGCCTTCAAGATAGAAAAAAGACAACTAACATAATTAACATTAAAATGTAGCTTTATCCCTTTTAGTGATTAGATAGTGTAATTATTTTTTAAATATACTGTCGATGTTAGAGCAAACAAATTTTAAGCATAATATATATTTGAGATTTTTAAAATCATTCATAAATAATTATTACATTTTTAGTACTTAGGAAATATCATTAACAGCCGTCTATAGTAGTTTGGGTAACATTTAAGTACAGTTTAGCCTATAATTTTAATACTGGTTAGGATTATAAATATTTGGTTTATTATTTGTTTTTGTCAAAACAGATAATTTTAATAATATTATTAATTTATGAAAAAAAAAAAAATGATTTTATTAGTCGTTTGCGTGTTACAATGTACGTGGCAGTGGCAACCACGTTGTATATGATTATGTATTTGCTATTTATAATAATAATTCAGAAATCTTATAGAATCTATAATATAGATTATAGAGAATTTTTATAGATAATTATATCTACACATAACCTAATTTCTAAAACAAAAAAATCAGCCATTTTTCAGCCGAGTCTGCAGCCACGATAGAACATTTTCATGTCTTGTTGAAGTACCGAATAAATTTAAATTAGTTGTGGAATTATAATTTAAAAAAAAAATTACATGGAACTTCCAGTTACAGCATAAGGCCAAGGAGATTAAAAAATTATGTACAATCAAGTTTCTGGCTAAAATTGCAGTGTTTATTATCTGGCCAAAAGTAACTTAACATAGAGAATTAAATTATTTTGAATTTATTATTTAGTTCTAATTTGAACGTTGAACGTACAACTTATCTCATATCAGATAACAGCGTAACAGATTAACATTCGAAATGGATCCGAAATGGTCTTTCCGATAATTGTCTTTCGTCGTCGCTTCGTAGTTTTTGTTACCTTGCGGCGCGTGACAGCGTAACGCTTTTTTGGTAACACTTTTTTTCGGTTATGTACCTGCTAATTCTCACCCCCAACCCCATTCCCATTCCCACCCCCAACCTCATTTTCAACCCCATTACTTTTTTGGTAACGCTCTTTTCGTTACGCTCTTTTGGTAACGCTTTTTTCGGTTATTTGCCAAGGTTATGTGCCAGAGCTAAGACATGAAAATGTCAAAAAATTGTTATAAGCATTGTAACAAAAAAGAATCATGGACGTACAATTAAAATATTATTAAATTGTTAATATTTTTAAATTTATTATTATAATATTCATTATTGAAAAATAATAAGTATCAGTAAAATGTTATCATTTCTACAATCATTTATTTTGTAAATAACAAATTATTATAAAGAATATGCGTGTCCATGGAGATGCATTTTAATTTTATATTATTTTGTCTTTTGTAAAACTTACAAAATGTTACTTGGTATTGTTTTTTTTTAACGCTCATACCAATTTTAATGGTGAGTCCCCCCCCCCTAACAACCTAACGTGAGCCCCACTCCTCCATAAATCCGGCCCTGTGTTAAAGTGTTAACAACACAAAATGCATAAATCACATTAAACCTATTAAAATTTGGTTAGGTCAGTCCTTAAATATGCTTTTATTTTAAATTATAACATAGTCTCCTTATCAATTCTGTAAAATCGATCCAGAAACGATTCCTATATTTTTTACTTTTTAAAGTTTAAAGAAAATAAAGCCAATAATTGTTGAATCGTCTGTAAAATACTATGTTGACAGAATTTAAAAAATTACATTTTTTGCGTCTAAAAGGAATTTAAATGATATATTTTTAAATACATCATATAAATAAATAACTATATCGTAAATTATATAAATATAAGACTGTTCTGAAAAATGATGATTGGATTCATTTAATGTACTAAATATTAATATACTATTTTATACGCAATTTTACGTTTCTACACAACGACAAATGTATCTCGCTCCAGTAAACCGAATTATAATTCGTGTAATTCAATTCAAAATGTTGGCTTTTTGAGTGCTCTCAGTAAGCAATTTTAACTTAGCTTATTTATTATTTACATTTTTTATTTATAGTCCTCTATTAACTTTACAAATTTTTTATACTTAATTTATTTTTCTCTATAATTGTAGTTGTAATTGTTAAATAATTTGTTAAGTTTAATGCATATTGTTGTACATATTTTAATAAATTATTGTAAAACTTGATGTAAACAAATTGTAAATTGCCTCATTAGCGTAAATTTATTACTTTTATAAATACATTATTGTTATTATTATTAAAAAACATTAATTTTCAATAAAGTGTTAAGGACAATTTTATCATTCGGCGGTTAAAATGTCGCTTATCTAATCTCGGTTTAAGATTAATCGGAGATTAAAATAATTCTGAATTTATCAATCAAATTTAATCCTAGCTTATGTAAACTGGGTTTTACAAACAGAAGATTTATTTATTACTAATTATTAATAAATTAAGTTACAACGTTAAAATAAAAATATTGTTAACTTTATATTGGTAAAAATCATCTGCTAACGGTGCTTAATTATAGACATACTTCCCAATGTTGGATTTAAATTTTTAATATATGTATGCATTTTTCGACAAATTTTCAAGGTTTTTTAGGAAGGCGATTTTTAATTTTCTCTTTTGAAGATCTCCAAAATTATTTTTTATTATTTTTGAAAATTCAATGATAATTTATTTGAGTTTATTTTAGGCATAACATTTTAAATAAAAAATGGGCTTCCTAAGAAACCCAGACAATTTGTCAACAAATCCACACATACTTTAAAAATCCAACATTGAGAAGTATGTCTAATTAAGCACCGCTAAAACGCATGAAAACTAGTTGTGCTCCGACCCCCTTAAGGGGTAGATTTACTAAATTTTCACAATGTATAGGGTTACACTTTATCAATGGGTTGGCTTTTTTTGATTTCTTTGATATTTATACTTAATATTTTTTTATAAAAAACATGTTGCGGTCCCCTTAATGTTATTTTAACTTTGAGTTACTTCTTGCTGAACAATTTTAAACTTGTTTTTACTCAGATGAATACATGCGAAAAAATCTTGGTCATACCATATGGTTATGTGGTCAATTTTTGTCAACAATAAACAAGGTCTTCGAATTTCGTTGAAATATTGGTATATTATATAACCTAAAAAATAAACTTCTGCGTCACTATTATTGTCGCTACTACTGCTACTAATCTAATTATTTCAGTCATATAGAATTCAATATGCATACAATTTGTATCAAATGTGTAGGTAATACAATATTTATAATTTAAGCATCCGTTTTGAATTGAATTGGTATTTACATTGAAATAACTACCTACAATGTAACTGTTAATTCTATGTTTTGTTACATGCAATCATAAAGTATACCTCATCACTATAATTCGATAAAAAGTTTTAAGTGTGTAAAAGCAAATAACTAATAATAATATAGGAATATTATATTATAAAACAATAGGTAGTAGATATTTCAGTAAAATGAAATATCACTTGATAATATTGATACTAATCTCAATTCTCAGTTTAAAGTTTTTAACTAACTATAATATGCTAACTAACTGTGATTAAGATTCAGCCAAAATTTAACCGAAGGAGTCAAATAGATAAAGTCAATTTTTTAGTTTAACAATTAACAAAGATTAACATTAAATAAAGTTTAAATTATTTTGACAAGCAGTTGATAAAGTTACCTTAAGTATACTATATTTGTATCGATAAAGTAACAGAGTATTACAAATTTACAATTTATCAATTTATAATTTATAGTTTTATATAAATTAGTTGTTGGGTCATGTCAGTGTAAATGGAATTTAAGGTCCATATAATGTTTATCAATGTAAATGTCCTATAAAATAGCGAAATCATAACATTAAGATTTTTTGATAAGTCATGTCGATGTAACAGGAATTCGAGGTAAATGTAATTCGAAGCAATAATTAAAAATGGAACTTTGATGTAACTGTAAATCGTGGCATAAAAAATAATAGCGAAAACATATTTTCGTTGTAAATGTATTCGTTTCAATTGTCGTCGAAGCAATTGTCATTCGTAACAAAAATGTCGGAGTAACATAACATCGTAGTACGCAACATTCGTGGTAACTGTGTTATCCCATAGCATCAGTTATGTTATCACTTTTTCTTATCACAAACTGTAATTCAAACATGACTACTATCACAGCCGACTGAGAATGCTCTATCGACAATCATTGTTATTCAATTGTAAACACTTAACACAAAGTTTGAAAGTATGTACTTATAATGAATTTATGAAATAGTTTATAGTTCGAGTTTACTACAATATTTGAAACAAGTAAGTACTACGATTTTTCAGCGTTTAACATTTTGCCAACATGTACATATTGACAGAGCGAATTGAGGGAAATCCGTTTTTCAAAAATTTTGTAAATCCACATTTTCAGAACGAAATATTTAAAATCTACCAACTTGTTTCTAACTCAAACATCCTATTCTGAATCATTTGAGTTTGGGATTTTCAAAATTCTTGTACAGTCTTAGTCCAGCTCTATTTATAAGCTATTTTCTCATTCATTGTACTGAATATTGCCGTTATATGAATTCAACTATTTATTTATTTAATTAATATTTATATAATAAAAATGCAGATTTTTTAGTTCAATTAAAGTAGTTATTCTATATTATTATCTAATTGAATTAAGGAGCTTCCACATTTTTCATAAAAAAAACTCATTTTAATTCCAACAGCACATAATATGTTGACTATGATTCTAAAATAATAAATGTTTTCTATTGAATCCAGGGTACTTCAATAAAGGTACCCTTGTCATAGTTCTTAGATAGGCGGATGGCAAAATATGACGAGGGAATGATAGTGGAAATCCTGCATAAAATTGGTTGCAATTTTCCTGTATAGCGCCGCTTTTCTGTATATTTTATATCAATGGTTTTACATTATTTTATACATTTTGGACTAGTTTCATTGTTATTTTATATTATTCCATGTATTATACTTATGAGAAAATTACTTAATTGAAAATTGATTCTACTTAACTCGACTACCCTCATTCTAGTTATACGACAAGAGAGTAAGTAGAATTTTTTCTAAATCACAGAAACCTCAAAATTTTTCTGTTCAACTCTATAGCACTGCTTATCTGTAGGTATATTTTAAAATCAACATTTTTACTCCTTACTTTCTTTAATTGTTACAAACAGAATTGTATTATACAGAATATTTAATTTCCAACAGATGAAGACTCGTGAACAATAACCAGATTTATCCACTTTTTTAAATGTTCAGGACGATAAAAAAAAATTCTTTCTCCCAATTACTACAATGGTGGAAAAAATATTTTTTGTAATTTATTTAGAATTAAAATTTTTTAAATCTTGAGTAGTGTATGTACACAGATTGTGGATAGTCCCACTTGAGTACCTTGAATTGTCTGCCGACATTTCGGAATACTTGCACATTCCATATTCAGAGCTGTGGTTTGATGTTGGTCGTACCATGGTTTCCTGTCGACTGACATTATTTATTTATTTATTTTTTTTGTAATAGTTCAATGTTACTCTTTGTTGCACTAAAATGTAGATCATTTTCCCATAAATTATTTTCCAAAACAAGAATTATTTTATGATAAAAATGGACTTTTTAGTCATTGCTAATATTGTGAGTAATATATGTATTGAAGCTTTAAAGACTGAAGTATTTGGATAGGTTAAGCTAGATTACAGCCAATTCCAGGGATAATATTATATATATTGTATAATTTTTAACCAATATAAGATTTTGATGAAATGAGTTCTTTTAAAAACTAATTACAAACATAATTATGGGTCAGATCAAGTATGCTATATAGTTTTTGACTACTCAAAAAAACAAATTTAATCAGATTTAGTCTGTCAGACATACTTTTGTGTTGAGTGATTTACAAACCCTTCATTTACTTCATTTAAAAAAAAACTATTCAAAATAATTTTTGTATATGTAATAAACTTGTTAAAATTATTATTTTTCATTTTTTTTATTCAGATTAATTATTTACTCCTAAATTTTTATAAATAAAAATTCACCGAACATTTTTACTCTTTATGATTTGAATCAAAAGAAACTATTAATATTTTTTTCAAAATTTAATTGTATACAAGTATAAATGTTAAATGTTTACATGACATCTACTAAAATGTAGACTTTTGTTGTATAAAATAACGTACCTAAATATTCTCCCAACAAGATTTATTTGAAATGATAATAAATAAAATAACTATAAGGTATTTTGTATAAAAAATTTACACTTTCATTTTAAACAACATTTACAATCTGTATATAAAAAAAATATACAAAAAGCAAAATGTTAACAATTTAAATAAATGACTTGGAGACTACGGGTAGGGAAGCTGATAGGACCCTTAAGACAGGGGAAAAATTTACACTTAGAAAACTTTTCGTTCAAACAGGAAAACCATGGAACTCAAATAAAATCATGATAAAAATTGGAGCATTTTATTTTTAAACTCATTTGGAATCTTTTGAAGAGTTAAGTATGGAGTCACAAATAACGACCACCCTAATTTTATTTTATTTTAATGTCTACTTTATGTAAGCTGGGTTTGTGTGCCTCAGGAATCAAACCTGGCTTTTCTAGTACTAAGTTCAACGACTTATACCACTGTGCCACAATCATTGACGATAATAAATTCAAAATAAATATTAGAATTAAAAGTTGATTAGTACAATTATAATAATAGCAATTTGATTATTTACAACTGTTTCTGTTATTTTTTTTAGAAAATGGGAGATGGAAGAATCAATAATACTACCAATTCGCGATTAAAAAGAAGCAACTACGAAGAAGACAGAGCTTTTAAAGATGAACCTCCAGTTAAAACTCAGCGTATGTTTTCACCTTTATATGAAGACCAAGGGACTGGTATAATACCATCCTATGAAAATGCAGATGTTAGTGAAGACAATTACAAAAACATCCCTGCAATATCTACCTTAAAGAAATTACAAGTGTTAGAATGCAGAGACAAATTTTTGCGAGCATCTGCTACCCAACCAACAATAGATGTTAATGTGGATGAAATTAAGCCAATGAAAGGCACATGTTTAGATATGTGTCCAGAAAAAGAACGTCTACTACGTATTGTTGGCAACATGGTTTCACATTTTGAATGTAGATCAATAGATTCAAAGTTAGAACCCGCTTTTGAAATAATGGTAAAAGCCTATGCCAGAAGTTCGGCTGATCAAGCTAATCCTCTGTCGCATGAATTGAGACCAACGCCAGTGTTAGTGAAAACAATGAACTACATGCTTAAGAATATTATACAGCCAATAGAATCTAATACTGAACAGGATTTGGCTAGTTGGTATGACTTTTGTTGGGATCGTTTACGTGCTATACGCAAGGACATTGTTCAACAAAACTTACAGAATCCGGAAGTCATAACTATATTAGAACAAATTGGTCGGTTTCATATTGCATGTTACGATCTGATGCTTGGTTACCCAGGTTTCGATATTAAGCTAAATACAGAAAATTTAAACAATTGCATTCAAATGTTAATGCCAATGTATAGAGATGCCGATCATAAATGCTCAAATGAGCCAGAATTTGTTTCCTATGAATTACTTATGCATTTAGGAAATCCACAATTTCATACAGCATATGATCTTTTACCTACACATTTAAAGCAAACTCCACAAGTAAGATTTTGTAACCAAGCACATATTACTTATTTACAATCTGGTGACTGTTTGGAATTCTTTCGTTTATTAAAAACCACAACATTTATGAATTGTTGTATACTAGAGAGAATTATACCTAGTGTTAGATACAATACAATAAAAATGATGAATTTGTCGTATACTACTTTTAAAAGAACATATAAATTAGAAATAGAACACGTTGTCTCCAAGTTATGTTTTGACGATATTGCATCAGCAAAAGAATTTTGTTCTGAAGTACAGTTAAAATGTGACGGCTTTTTCGTAGAACTGTCACGTAAAAAAGATTTATGTGCTCCGGAATATAGAAATAAAAAACAAGAATCTATTATTATTCAAAAGAGACAAAATCTAACATACTTAATATCTGGAATGGAGCAACTGCCTAGTGTAATTATTGATTCTATACACTCAAGTTTTGATGATGATGACTGTTTGATTACGTACAATGAAGAGGATGAACATATTGACGTAGATGACTCAGATTCTGTAATGGAAACAAATTCGGTATCATCATTTTCAAAAGACTTTTCTATAATAACTGATCAAAGCCAATTTCAAACATTTAAAATCCAAGAGGCTGAAACACCAACTTTTACTTTTAAATTGCCTAAGCCTTCAGTATCTCCTACTATCCAAAAATTGCCTGTTCATTCAGAGGTTCCCTGGAAGCAACCTAGTAGACCAAGAACACTCTCAAAGCAATACGAAGATGAATCATCTATTCACGGTAACTTATCAGTGAATAACGCTGAAACTATAGAGAACAGTTCTAACCTTTTAGTAACGATTCCAGATGCATTAACAATATCACCAACATTAAATTCACAATGTTTACAGCCTATTCAATCACCATTTAGAAGTTTTCATTCAGAAAAATTACTTTTTAAAAAATTAACTGAAAGACAGATATATTTAGCTAAAAAGTATTTTAACAGATGGCAAAATTTTGTGGCACACAAAAAGGCAGAAAGTATTGCTGAAGTGTTTTCTCATAATGAGTTGTTCCATTATACGGAATGCATTTCCTCTTTATCTTCATCACCATCTTCATTATCCTCCTCGGTTTGTTATACTAATGAAAGTATTTTACTTGAAGAACCTAAGGAGTGGACTGACAAACAAGTTATTTTGGCTAAAAAGTATTTTTATTTATGGTTGCGTAGAACTTTACGTAGAAGAAGAACATTTGAAATTGATCCGGTTAACAGTTTACCATGGTCAGTATTTATGCAAGTGCACGGTACACCAAATGCAACACTTCAAAGCATAACATCCAAATCTAAAAAATTAAATGATGGTCAAAAAGGTTCCTATTTATTGAATGAACAATTTCTGCTGCAACAATCCAAATTATTAAATGATAATATTAGTATCAACATTGCCGATATGTTTATTAAAAATATATTAAATTCAGTTAAAAATAGGTTGATTGGAAATAAAGTATTTTGGAAGGTAGCAGTGAACTATGGCACATCGTCTATGTTTAATTGTTTGGAAGACAAAGTAAAAACTATTATTTATGGGAAAATAGGATTTGGCCACTCCCAGGTGCAAGCCATCTTCACTGATTACTTCAAATGGTTTATTAAGTCAGTACATAGCAGTGTTGGGTTACAAGACTGGACAAAATGCGGATTGAATGCAGCTATTGTTTTCACAGCTACAGATAAAGAAGATATGGAAACACTTTTCAAACGTGTTGACTCAATATTACAATCAACGCCTACAGCTATACCTTTTGTTATGATATTGTCTTCGAGCTCCAATAAAAAAGAAATATTAAATTATAAAGCAATTTTAGATACTTATAAGGAAAATGACTATATAACCAACTATTCAATATATATTTGGGAAGGTCCAATGACAATTTTAAAAGCAATAGAATTCTTTTCGATTAATTTTGTTGACACAGTACCAGGAATGACTTCAGAAAAACTATATTACAGTTTAATTAATTTTGCCGAATCTTTCTTTTTAAAAGTAAGACATTTGATTCCAGAAAGTAATCCAAATACTATAATTGAAAAATATAATCAGAGTTTAAACGCCTACATCAAACGTTTGGGAAAAAATAATGATGTACTAAAATATTTGGCTCCCGAATTTGTACCGCACTATACGCAAGAACCTGAAAAATTTTTAACAGCAAATTCCAATTTAAATCTTGAGTATTTTGAAAATATTTTAAATTCAGCTCATCTTCCACTATACGAATCATGGCCACCACAATGTGTTGATGATTTAGTAGAATATGTCAAGAAGATGTGCCATTTGACTAATCGTAGGTGTTGGTATTTAGACATACTACAAATGCTCCAGTTAGACCGAAAAATCAAGCATGAGAACTGTTTTTCAAATGCTAGTTGGTACCAAGTAATCGAAATGTGGATTCAAGGAGCATTAGAAAAATGTTCTTCTACACATAATCATTTTTCAATATTGTACAATAACAATCCAATCAAGGATGTACTGAGTATAATTTTTCCTGATATAAAAAATATGTATTGTGTTAAATAGCTACTAACCTAGTCGCATTATATGTTTAGTTTTTATAAGAACAATAATATTTAGTAAAATAATATAATTTAAACATTTTGTAACAGCAAGAATTATAACACTTGATTTTATACATTATTTTTGTATTTTATTCTAGCATAATGTACAAAAAGTACATATATTAGAGTTAATTTACACTGTACAATTAATAAATATACCATTGTTTATTGAACATAATAATTTGAGAATGTTTTACACAGTACTAAATAGTAAATATATAGGTTCAAATATCTTGAAAATTATTTCTTCTTTCAAATTAGCAGAAAAATGTTACCTCTATCAAATGAATAATAATTTTTGTAGAATAATGCAACAATAATATTTTTTTAAATTTTATAATAGCTTAAACACACGACTTAATTCATATTATATTAATGTGGGTAATATAATGTTGCCTATCTAAAATATATTAAACATATGATAATACTAAATATATTAATTGACTAACCAACTGACATTTTAATAGTAGCTAAATTCTTGGATTCGGTTGGAATTTATTGGTTTATAATAAAAATTTCCTGTCAGTGAAGTTTATTATTAGAATGTCGCCTAAAATTTGCTACTGCATATCATTCAGTTAATTAATAGTTACTGAGAATTCCCTCTTTGAGGCTTGATAATTCGAAAAACATGATTCTTTATTTTGGCAATATATATGTAAAAAAGTAAATGTACACTAAAACTATTGCTTTTGTTTAATCATACTATCAAAACAATATTTATGTTTAATGCCAAAAAATAGATGTTGCTTAAACAGTAGTTACCATTTTATTATTTCCAGTTATTTTTCTGTAAATGTTTTATGTCCAAAATCAGTAGATATTATTCACAATGATTTTTCATGGAAAACCCACATTCAAGGGTGGATTATACAGTTATTACTTATTTAGTACGGGAGAACTGAAATTTATTGGCAATTACACAGAACAGATTACATATTTAGTCTGTCTATTCTGTGGTAAGTATACACAAGTTGGTATAAGGTCTAACGTCTACAGCTTTTAATTATTTATTATAGTCTAAAACTAAAAAATCATATTAATCAAGGTTTTGACGGTTTTGCGCATGTAGACTAGAGACCAAGCGGCCACTAAGGACATACAGGGCGGTCTCGGGGAGCAACGCTAGAGGCTAGTCACACTAGGGGATGCGCAGAATGGCAAATTTCCTTTGGGTCGCGGAATGTTCTCATGGCAGACAGTGTATAGCTAAATAAACTATAAGACTGTGCCAGAAAACAAAGACAATTTACCAAGAATATGCTTGTGAGAGACTTAGGTCTGAGCTAAGTTAAGCATATGGTGTTGTGTTTTAATTCCTTCAGTGCGCCAAAAAACCTCTTTCTCTCTCTCATATGTCGTATGCCGGTTCATTCTTTATTCTGTGTCGGTTCATAGTTCATCTCAGAAACTCAAAATACTCAGAAATACTACCCCCAACTCATACTTCATTATATTATTATCAAGTCTTTGACACGGCCATGCATCCACCACCACATTGGTAGATCATTCATAAACCAGTAATCACAATTCACGGTAATGTAATAAATAACCTTGGTTTGTTTATTTACTACTGATAAGCTACAATGTCATAATAAATAATAATTGATAAAACAAAATATTTGAAACTTGAAATATGTAATATGTATTATAGTATTTGCTATAAGCTATTTAATAACATAAAAGTGATACTGTAGACGATTTTAATTGCTAATTTATAGTTTTGATGTTTAAAATGCCTTGAAATTGGTCATATAAAAAAACACAATGAACGAAGACGGCTTAGAAACTTCATTTAGGATGTCAAATGATTTTGACTTAACTGGTTTTATGTTTGGCAACATCGACGAGAGTGGACAACTTGAAAATGATGACATACTGGATAGCGACACTAAAAAACATTTGGCGTCGCTAACCAAACTTGGGTTCAGTTCGATTTTATCAGACGTTGTCAGCTCGTCGGAACTAGCACACGCTGAAAACAGTTATGAAGACATAGAAGGTGTCGAAGAGAAATCTGCAACAGCACAAGATTTTTTTGATATAGATGAATTAGCAGAAGAGGCATCAAATGATAATGTAGAAATAGTCGATCATGAAGATAATTATAAAAAACACAGAAAAATGTCTGATGATGAAACCAGTCAAGCTGAGGCATGTCGTAGACGCCTTGAAACACCTTTAGCTGCCATGTTGCCGTCTAAATATGAAAACGTAGATGTCACTACCATATTTCCTGACTTTAGAGTTGGCAAGGTAAGACTTTTTTGTTGTTTTTTTTAAAACATTTAATATAATTTTATATTATTTATAGGTTCTAAGATTTTCAAGATTATTTAAACCTAACAAGTCAAGTCGATTGCCAAAAATGTGGCGTAATGTCAAAAATAAACGTAAAAAAAGAAGAAATAGTGAAAGTAGTTTGTCGAATGCTGGTTCTAGAGAACATATTTTTAACCTGGAATATGGTCCAATGCCTCCACCAGAATGTATTGCTGATGACGACGAGGTTATATATTTTAAGCTTTAACAGTTATGATTTAATTTTAATTTATGAATATTATTAATAATATAATTACCTATTAAATTTAGGAAAAATTCTTACAACCTATTGAAACCTTTTCGAAGGAAACTAATGAAAGTAAACAAGAACTAGAAGATGGTTCAAATAACCAAGCATACTGGAGGAATGGACCTGCTAAATTGTGGTATGATATGTTGGGAGTTCCTGAAAGTGGAGAAGGCTTTGACTACGGTTTTAAGCTTAAAGACAAAGTAAACAGTTTTTGTTATATTTTTACACATACAATATTTGAAAATGTAATTATGAAATAATTACCTAATTATCCTTGTTTTAGAGCAAAGAAGAAGAAATTAAGTCTGAAGAAAATCCATATCCAGACGATGCATATTTAATGGTTAGCCAATTGCATTGGGAGGATAATATAATTTGGAACGGAGATGATATCAAACATAAAGTCCTTCAAAAATTAAACAGCAAAACTAATGCTGCCGGATGGTTACCTAGTAGTACTAATCGTACTGCCCAAACATTTAGCCAACCAGGAAAAGGAATGCTTCCGCTTGCTGGTGGATCAGTAAGATTAGCTACGTCTAATATAAACGTATCTCAATCACAAAATAAGATAGCTCAAAAACCAAATATGACGTATGTTTTATTTTATCAAATATTATTATTTTATTATATATTTGTGACATTAATTATTTTTAAATATAAATTTTTTAGAAATTCAAAACAGCAACCAATAAATGATACTACCGATGACACATGGTATTCCATTTTTCCAGTTGAGAATGAAGAGCTTGTTTATGGCACTTGGGAAGATGACATAATTTGGGATGCGCAAAACATGGACAAAATACCTCGTCCCAAAATTCTTACTTTAGATCCGAATGATGAAAATATTATTTTAGGGATCCCTGATGATGTCGACCCGGCCAAACAAAGATTAGATAATGCTACTCCGGTAAAAGTAAAAATTCCTCACCCACATGTCAAAAAATCAAAATTACTTCTAGGCAAGGCTGGTGTCATTAATGTATTAGAAGAAGACACCCCAATGCCACCACCCAAGTCACCAGATAGAGATCCATTTAATATATCAAATGATTGGTATGTTTTATGTTTAAATATTAGGTGTAAATCATATTACCATTTTTTTTTTTTTTAATTTCCTTCTTTTTGCTTTACTTGGTCCACTTGTGAAAATAGTTATGTCCATATTTTCTTATTTAATTCTACATTCCTTAATTCTGAGATCGCTAACATTATTAAATCTTTTTTATACTTGCACTATTACTATTTTTTCATGCAATCTTTATATTTTGTATTTTTACTACTATTATTTGCTTAATTTTCACATGTACTAGTCTTAATTCACTTCAAATTTCTCTCATGATTTCCGTTGCTATTCTTTAAAAAATCTCACATTTAGAATCTAGACTTCTGTATTTTTTTTTTTGCTTAATTTGATCCCCTTATACTACACAGTTTACACATTTATTATTTCACAGCTTACTTGCTTGCCTCTCAAGAATTCAAAATTGTTAATATTCTTTTCTAAACGTTGTTTTCCAAGCAGGTTAAAAACAAAGGTTTTCATATTGAGTCAATTTGATGAAATAATACAATTTAATTGATTTTAATATTTGAAACTGATTTTGTATGTGTTTATTACTTTTTCTTTTTAGCTATTATCAACCACGTTCATCAGAAACATCATTACGCCTCAAAGTTGGTGGAGGTAATATTATTCAACATTCTACGCCTGTTGTTGAGCTAAAGGCACCTTTTATACAAACCCATATGGGACCAATGCGCTTAAGAAATTTCCATCGTCCACCAATAAAGCGTTATTCACATGGTGTTGTATCTCAGCCTATATTTCATTGTATACAGCCTCTTTTAAAAAATATCAAAAAGAAAGCCAAGGCTAGTACAGAGACAATTTATTTATGTAGTTTATTAGCTATACCTATAATTAAAAAATCATTAAAGAACAATTTTGGAACTATAGCTTAGAGAACAAGAACGAATTGCTTCTGGTGGCGGAGATGTATTTTTCATGAGAACTCCTGATGATTTGACTGGCCGAGATGGATCTATTATTCTTGTAGAATATTGTGAAGAACATCCTCCACTTCTTAATCAAGTAGGAAATTAAAAAATAATAATTTCGAGTTCTGTTAAGTATATTTTATTTTATTTCGTAGGTGGGTATGTGTTCGAAAATAAAGAATTATTATAAGCGTAAAATTGGTAAAGATCCTGGTCCACCAAGTTTACGATTTGGAGAGGTCGCTTATGCGCATACATCTCCATTTTTGGGAGTGTTGTCTCCTGGCAAAACAGTACAAGTTATTGAAAATAACTTATATCGTGCTCCAATGTACGAACATAAGCCTATAGAGACTGATTTCCTTCTTATAAGAACAAGGTAAAAAAAAAAGGTTTTGTTTTATTTGAATATTTATACAAATTTTTTTATCTTTAAGTGGTTTCATGTAGGCTTAACAGACATTTTTATTGATTAATCTGAGTATTTTTATTATTAGTTTTAATTTTAATACCTAATATTTTACTAAAATCTCAACACTTGGCTAGAGATTAATTTTTTATTTGTTTATTTATTTTTGTATGTCACTCTGACTGGTGTAAGCTCTTTGGCCTAGTTCATTCGCCTTGGAGGAGAATGGTAGTTTCTCTCTAGGCAATCGCTCAGAGAAAAATAGACTACTCTTTACCGAGTATTGAACTCCATCTTAGTGAGCATTAAGGCAGTGTCACTTTACCCACTCGTCTGCCACAATTTTCTGATTTTAATTAATAACACTTATTTTTAGTCAGTTAACACTTAAGAAATGAGGCTTTTTTCCATACTGATGGGCCAGAGTTGGTATAGTTAAAAATAATTTTTTAAAATTTTATATTCTGTAGGCATGCGTATTTTATACGAGAAATTGATGCTCTTTTTACTTCTGGACAATTGTGTCCATTGTATGAAGTGCCTGGTCCAAATTCTAAACGGGCAAATAATTTTGTCAGAGATTTTTTACAAGTAAAAGTTTTTTTAGTTACTTATATCAATATCAAATAATAAATGGTTAATTTTCTATTTTTTTGTTTAGGTTTTTATTTACCGTTTGTTTTGGAAAAGCAATGACTATCCAAGGCGTATAAGAATGGACGATATAAAAAAAGCATTTCCATCGCACTCAGAAAGTAGTATACGTAAGCGTCTCAAATTATGTGCAGATTTTAAAAGAACTGGTAAGAATTTAATATATTATTAAGTTGTATTGAATCTAATGTTGTTTTGTTTAAATATAACATAAGGATCTGATTCAAACTGGTGGGTAATAAAACCAGATTTCCGTTTGCCATCTGAAGAAGAGATTCGCTCCATGGTATCTCCAGAACAATGTTGTGCTTACTTCAGTATGATATCAGCTGAACAAAGACTTAAAGTGCGTTTTTAAACATTATTGTTCAAACTAATATTAATTTTAGCTATTTTATGGATACATTACATATAGTTAAAATACCTTTAAACTATTTGTTTTGTCACTTACATTTGATTTTATTAAATATATTTTATATATGTATATTAATTGCATTTTTGTTACAGGATGCAGGGTACGGTGAAAAATTTATTTTAACCAGTTTAGATGATGACGATGAAGAAATGCAACTGAAAATGGATGATGAGATTAAGGTGGCACCGTGGAATACAACTCGAGCTTATATTCAAGCTATGAAAGGAAAATGCTTACTTCAACTTACTGGTCCAGCTGACCCTACGGGTTGCGGGGAAGGATTTTCCTATGTTAGAGTGCCAAACAAACCAACTGTATGTACTGATTGCCCTAAATAATTAAATGTCGGTTCGATAAATGTATGTATTTAATTATAGTTAAACAAAGAGGAACAAGAAGCTCAACCAAAACGTATGGTTACTGGTACCGATGCAGATTTAAGACGTCTATCATTAAATAACGCAAAAGCTTTGCTGAGAAAGTTTGCAGTGCCCGAAGAAGAAATCAAAAAACTGTCTCGATGGGAAGTTATTGATGTTGTTCGAACATTGTCTACTGAAAAAGCTAAGGCTGGTGAAGAAGGAATGACCAAGTTCTCTAGAGGAAATCGATTTTCTATTGCAGAACATCAAGAGAGGTAAGATATTGAGTTATGAATATTAGTTAATATGAGTTATTGTATGGTTACTACTTTATAAAATAAAATAAACTGTATCATTTCAATTGTTATCACAGGCAGGATGGTTTATATTTTGACAAAGTTACATATAATTTGTATGTAAATTGAGGTCAAGAAAGTGTGTAACAACATATTTACAAATTGTTTTAATGTCATACTACATTAATAACAAAAATTAATTTGTACAGGTACAAAGAAGAATGCCAACGTATATTTGATTTACAAAATCGAGTACTGTCATCACATGAAGTATTGTCTACTGATGAAGGTGAAAGTTTTGATGAAGAAGATTGCTCCGATATAGAAGAAATGGGGAAAAACATTGAAAATATGTTATCAAATAAAAAAACCAGCACACAAGTATTAAACTACTATAAAAAATATATTAGGGTACATAATAATTTATACTTAAAAAAATAGTTATCATTGGAAAAAGAAGAACAAGAACGACATGAACTTCGTAAAATGATTATGGGAGAACATAATGATGATACAAGAAAACGAGATAAAAAGAAAATGGATGACGAAGATAGCATGCAATTTTCATCTACAGTGCAGCCCGGTATGAATGATCAATGAGTACTATAAAATCTTCTTGTTAATAAATCGAAATATTTATTATATTAATTACTTTAGGTCGCGTGCTTAGAATTTATAGAACATTTCAAGGAGCCGATGGTAAAGAGTTTACGAGGACAGAAGTAGTGCGTAAGCCAGGTGTAATTGACGCATATGTTAAAATTAGAACAACCCGGGATGAAGGTTTTATAAGACAATACGCTCTAATGGATGAAGCACAGAAAGAGGAAATGAAAAGAGAAAAACGTAGGATACAAGAACAATTGAGACGAATTAAAAGGAATCAAGAACGTGAACGCTTTTCTAACAATTCTAAACCACAACCAGGTAAGGTTTTTTTTTATTATTTAATGCTATCATCACTAATTTATTAATATTAATTTTCATATAAAAATGTTTAAGGATTTGGATACTCAATGGTTAACAAAAACAATTCTCTCAGTAGTGATTTACCAATGCCAACATCTGGTACTGTTACTATACCCAAACCTCGTATGGAAGCTACCCCACCAAAACCTCGTAAACCTAAACCCAGTAAAATGAAACCAGACTTAAAAGTCAGATGTGGTGCTTGTGGTAATGTCGGTCACATGAGAACTAACAAAGCATGTCCTCAGTACAATTTAAATCCGAATGCTCCTGTAAATGTTGCCCTTACTGAAGAGCAAGAAGAAGAAATTGAAAAACAGATGAACGTAGAAGACGAGGATTTGGTTAACGTAGATGGCACTAAAGTTACTTTATCTAGCAAGTTGTTAAAAGTAGGTATTCTTACTATGCTCTTTTATTATTTATAATAACAACTAAAATCAAATCATACTATTTTATTTGTTTGTTAAAGCACGCTGAAGAAGTAAAAAGAAGGTCATTGCTTTTAAAAGTACCCAAAGATGCCCTTTCACGCAAGAAACGTAAAAGTGAACTGCATTGCGATTATCTAAAAAAACCTGATCGATCGGCTAATAGGCGTCGTACTGATCCTTTGGTTGTTCTTTGTACTATTTTTGAATCTATTTTGAACGAAATGCGTGGTATGCCAGATGTCAATCCTTTTCTCTATCCAGTTAATGCTAAAGTAAGAACTATTTTAATAAACTCATTCATATAACAGGAGAATTACTACATTTCTGTTTATTCTTTTGTAAAAAAAAAAAAACATTTAGTTATCCATTGTGGATCTAGTAACCCAATACTACTAGTAGTGTGTCAATTTTATCATATTTTGATAGTGTCTTATTTTTTTATAATAAACAAATTAATAATATTTTATTTTTGTTGCTATATTGTTTATCAGCTAGTACCAGATTACTATAATATAGTCCAAAGACCAATGGACTTGCAAACAATACGAGAAGGGCTTCGTTTAAAAAAATATCAAAACCGAGAAGAATTTCTTTCTGATGTTAATCAAATTGTTGAAAACTCTACTCTGTATAATGGTATGTTGTGTGTTAACAAAATCACAAAGATCATAAAACATTATATTTATTATAATAAACCTGTTTTGTAGGAGCTAAAAGTTCATTGACAGTTGCTGCACGACGTATGTTGGGTGTATGTGTAGACCGTTTACATGAAAAAGAAGAACGACTTATGCTGCTTGAAAAGGCAATTAATCCATTATTAGATGACAATGACCAAGTTGCTTTAACTTACATATTAGATAATGTTGTTGGTAAACTTAAGACTATGAGTGAAGCAAAGGCATTTATGAAACCTGTAAATCAAAAATTGGTTAAAGATTACTACAGCATAATTAAACAACCAATTGATTTAGAAACCATTGCATCTCGTGTCTCCAGTAAGTTGAATATTTAAGTTTAATACATGCCTACCAAGAGAATATTATTAAACAATGTATATACATTACAAATAAATAATAACTTAGTAACTTAACAAGTTACAATTATAATACTAACAAATCGTCAAGTATTTAGTTATTTTATTTTTAAAACATTTTTTTTTCTTCTCATTTTAAGGTCATAAATATCACAATCGAAAAGAATTTTTAGCTGATATCAACCTAATTTTGGAAAATTGCATTAGTTATAATGGTGAAGAATCTGAGTTCACTCAGCAGGCTCGAAATTTGGTAAAAGCAACTAGTGAATCTTTAGAAGAGGTTTGTTGTTTTATGAAACTAATAATTGTATTTGTATATTGAGTAGTATGCTGTATCTCCTGCCAACCCACACAGTGGGCCGTTTGCTTGAAATACAAGTTGTTTCTCTCTCTGTATAATGTATGTTTTAATAATTAAATGTGATTTACAGTTTGATCAATATCTAACACAAGTTGAACAAAATATCAGTTTAGTTCAAGCACGAGCTTTAGAACAAGTTGAAATTGATTCAGTAATCGATGATGATTATGCTGATATGCAAGACGTCGAAGATGTATGATAATATTTTTAACTTATAATCTAATATTAATGTTTAATTCATGCTACCTGTGCACAACCCAAACAACCCTCTTTAACACTTTTTAATTGTTTTATTTTAGAGTTTAAACTCGCCCCAGGAACATAAAGTTAAAATTGAAGATATTGAACTCCAAATGGATGACAGCCAACTTAAAACAGAGAGCCATGATATATTAGAAGATGGTATAATAATAATTTTCACATAATTATTTTTCAATGTACTGTGATACTCATTGTAAATTATAATATGTGTAGATTTAAATTGTTCGAGTGAAGAAGATGACTTCATGGAAGTAGTTGGGGACAACCCAGCAGATGATAGCCAGCAAGTAGCAGAAGCCATGGTTTTGCTCGGTAACACAGGATACAAATCTACTTCTGAAAATATCTCCAACCAAATCCATGGTAAAATATATAAATATTTTTATCTAACGTTATATGATTTTTGTTGATTTTAATAGGCGATGATAGTATGGATCTAGACCCAAATTACGATCCATCAGACTTTTTACCTACTGGTAGTAGAACATTTGAAAGTGGAGAAAAGAGAAGTCAAAGCAGTGCTAGTGCAAAAATTCAAGACGACTTGGCCATCAGTGATTCGGATGAGGACAATGTAAGCGATGATATTAAAACTAAAGATGATCTAGGCGAATTGTGGTTTTAAAATATCAATATTATAAATGGCTGAACATTTCTAATGGTAAATAAACCATTACATTTGTATATATTATATAATTTATTTATTTTTTATTTTTATTTATTAGTTAATTATTTTAGAACTAAATTTATAATTGACAACTCTTTATATATTTGTAATTTTATAAACTAATTTTCTATTAAAATAAAATAATATTATGTCTTGTATTTAAATTAAAAAACTGTATGTATAATATTGTTTATTGAAGAATAATTGTAGTACATTATTGATTTTATTTTTATAATTTTCTCAAATAAAATTTTATTTATGATCATAGCTAGTCACTTTATTTCTACCATAAATCTAATTTTTATACAAAAATCCTAAATTTCCACGAAAAAAAATTTGAATTACGAAGAAGTAATTTGGTTGACACACTTACATTGTTTGTTGATGAATTTGTGCGTCAGATTTTGTTTTTCCTAATATCTACGGTTAGAATAAATTTAAATTATGGATTCGTGTCACTATCATCGGATTTGTTTTACCAATGGCTTCTCTTAGATAAGTCCATCTTTCTTTAATTACATCACAGATTATATGAAATTATAATATGAGATTATATGGATATGATCTCCAGACATTAAAAATGGTATTGAACAAATTTTATCACGCTCCAAATAAAATTCTGTAATTACATATTTTTATCACTTGTTTTCTCAAAAAGCAATATGGAGAAGGTATACTTGGTATTAACTATGTTTCTAATAAAAAGGTCAGTTAAACAAGCCTACAAGAAATAAAGAAATAGCTCATTTTTAAAATTGTTTTTAGTATTTTCGGACTGGAGGTGTTGAATTAGTGCTTGGGGGTATTGTAGTACCGATTATGGTTAAAAACTGTCGTATACGCACTATCGTACACGAAATGTTATAAACACACACATACTGTAAATCAAATTACTTAGCCATATTTCTATAATAAACGGGTTATTAGCCTGAACGTAAGTACTAACAATAGCAAAAAACCAAGAGCCGTACTTTGGCTTCCTCGGGAGATGCGGTCTTTATTGCAGTATACTTATTTGTGAAACACAGCAAACACGCAGTGAGAGCACTCAGTTTTTATTAGCTTTAAGGAGATGAGAGAAAAAGGTAACACTTTTTAAATTAAGTAAAAGAAAAGCAACTCAAAGTGAATAAACACACAAAAAGATATTATGTTCATAAAAACAATGTAAAATCATAAGACAATTAATAGCACGCGAAAATATTACCCTCGTAACAGACAAGCGTTTTCGGGATAGAGCAAATTCTCCGGGGCAAGCCTAAGAGAGAGTGACCCGACATAACAATTTGTGTGGCTTTAAATAAAAGAAAAAAATATAATTTTTTCTGTGAAAACACTTTAACCGTTTGCCATTTGGCCTAGATATATTGCTTAGTTTCATAGTTGTATTACTTCTCGCTCCTACTACAAAACCAAAAAATGAGTATAGAGTGAATGAGTATATTGAAATAATGGTTATATTATCTAACTTAGATATAATTTAGTCATTCAGTATTAAAGACCTACGAATGTCTTACGAAAGACCTTCTAAAATGTCAAGTTAATTTTCACTGAATAGAAATGTGTTGGAAATATATCTACTTCATTATGCATGTAATCATTCATAATAAAACTCCATTTAGGTAGGTAATTGTCTCGTGGTTATGTTCGTTGTTTCGGAAAGTTAATTTAATATTATTTTCTGTCTTAATACACTTTAAAGATGTATGAAAATAATATTTTAGCCGTCGCCAGCCACAATTAAATTGGAAAATAACAGTATCAGCAACAATGATAAAAATAATAATAAGAAGAAGGAAACATTCAAAAACGAAAACGGAAAATTAACTGATGTCTGATTTACAATTTGCTTAGCAGAAACAATACAACACCAGCAGTAAGCAAATTCAAATTGCCGCCAAAATATCAGTTTTACCTCCAACGGTTACCTTTCTGTGATTACCACGGGGGCACCGCCTTAATTCAGTTGTTTATTGTTTTCCTAAAACCAGTAGGGTGTGTTCACGGTGTTATGAATTCTGATAAGATACACAATAGTCAATAAAAGTAAATCGGTTAAATCATTTTTCTATACATTTTATTGTGTTTTATGGTAATATTTTATAATAACAAAATATTCATTTTTCAAATGAGCACTCGCTGCCTGTAAATGGATTTTGTTCTATACATTTATCTTGTTGTTCTAGATTATCGTTTGGATTTCGCATTGCAGTTAAGGTTAAACACAATTTCATGAACATGGTGTACTCAGTATAAGTAGACAAACAAAAATAAGACAAGAAAATGTTCCAAAATCATTTTTTCACTCTGGTAATTGTCTGTCTCATACCAACGTTCTGCTGGTCTCAGAACAATGAAATCGAGACCGAATGGCAGTGTCCAGAATATTGGGTCAAGTATGGCCAGTCGTGTTATAAATTTGTCAAGTCGCCAATACGACCAAGAACTGAGGCTCATCGAAACTGCTTGGTATGTTTGTGACTCATATAAAGTCTTAATTTAGTTTCAATCCGAATCACCAGTTAAATTTTAAGTTATTAACTTGTTAACATTTGTGCAATCAAGCGTGTATTGCTAACGCAAAATCTTGAAAATTCACATAGTTTAATATGATATGCATAGAAATTTATTTTATCTTAATTTTATAAAAAATATTCAACTTTTTTATTCAAACCTATGTACTATTTATATGTTAGCCTAACCTTAGGTATCTAAGTTCTAGACTTTTAATGAAAAAACTACACAGGTATTTTAAATTTAATTTAACTTTTAAAAAACATTTTATCATTGATATTAAACAATATAGTTTAATACAATTAATAAGAGAGCAAATATTTTATCTTTGCTATTATATTATATACCTATATATTATTATACTCAATGTCATTTGTATTTTGACCCAACCCGAAACAGGAATTTTTTGTGTGACCTAGGAAAAATTAACCGTTCAAATATATTTTTTACCCAAGTAACTAGTATTTTAATTAAACAAATGTCAATTATACGTTTTTTTAAATAATTGGAGTTTCCTAAAAATATATATAATTAATAATAATGAGTAGTATGAGGATTTAACAATATACCTATGATGCGATTAGAATTAGATGATTGGTCGTGCAGGTGTTTCTGTTGATGAAATCATTGCGGCCCGATATTCATATTAAGTAGCAAGTCGCGCTGTGTGGCATCATATAAACTGCACATTTATGGCCTTATTTTAGTCGCAAATAGTTCATAACTACTCGAACTTATGATATACTTTGCATTTTGCAATAACGTTAAAACTTTTTTTTTGTAATATTAAGATTTTTAAAATGAAATTTAGGTTTCAATAACTTAACTTGAATAAATTACTGAAATAATTTTAAATATTTATGTCTAATTTGACATTTGGTGTGATTTGTATTTAGGCTTATGGAGCTGATTTGGTAAGCGTAAACAGCTTAGACGAGCACGGTTTCCTTATAAATCAACTTTTACGTCAAGATCCACAGCATAGACAGTGGTATGTCAGTGGTAGACAATCAAGTCCGGGTGTGTGGGTAAATGATGCTGAAAATACTGTACCGCTGATAGATATTGAAAATGCTCTTTTGCCTGAACAAGACTCTACTCTGAACAAGGATTATATCGCTTATACGTAAGTCTTTAATCATGTTAATATAATATTTTTACATAAAACAATTTTTAATGTCATTGTTGTCATCATTATTATTTTGATATGTGGTTAAAATAAAAACAATTCATTTTTAGTTATTCCGATCAGTTACAAAAATGGGGTTTTCAAAAAGTTCCCGGTGACCGCTATTTACTTTATATATGTGAAGTACCTATTACTAAACAGCATATGGTAATCGATCAACGATCCTACCAATATGGATATAATATAGAAGATCCACTGAAAGTTCCTAGAGGACCACATTTTATTAAACAGCCATCAGATGTTGTATTTGACGGCTCTAGAAAGGCAATTACTAATGATGTAACATTAACGTATGTGTTTAATAAGTTCTTACTTTACTAATTGGTGGTAATATTTTGATTTAATTTCATTATTCTTTATGTTAGCTGTGTTGCTGGAGGATACCCTACTCCGACTTATGAATGGTTTAAAGAAGAATATGATAACCAAGACCAATTGCAATCAATAAAAATTGACCCGTTAAGCAACACTAGATTTACATTGAGTGGTGGAACATTAATCATTTATGCCCCAAAAAGGGTATTTTTTAGTTGTGCCTTTATTACACTTCAAGATATTTTTATATTGTTTATTTTTCATAACAGGACGAAGACCGAGGTCGTTATCATTGCAAGGCATCAAATTTGTTTGGTTCTATTGTATCAGAAAGCATTCAGCTGTCATTTGGATTTATTGGTGAATTTAATTTACAAAGACCGCTAGAAAGAGGAAACATGAATTGGGGCAAAACTATTTTCTGTGATCCTCCACAATATTTCCCTGGTGAGAATTTGTATGATTGACAATTGCCAACACAATAAACACAAAAATAAATAATTTATTAATAATATTAAAAAAATTCCATTAGAGGTCAGATATTATTGGGTCAGAGAATCTTTTCCAAATTTAGTGCAAGAAGACAGAAGAGTGTTTGTCTCGTATGATGGATATTTATATTTCTCAGCATTGGAAGAAATCGATGCTGGTAATTACAGTTGCAATGTGCAAAGTAAAGTCTCAAATACTGGCAAAAACGGACCATTGTTTCCACTACACGTAGTTATGCATTGTAAGGATGATTTTACATAATAAGAACGTATTAAACAAATTGTACAAATACTCTTTTTTTTTTTTATAGCCGATTATCAACAACTGATACTGCCGAACAATTTCCCCAAGGCTTTCCCAGAGGCACCTATTGCTGGTCAAGAAGTCAGATTAGAATGTGTTGCATTTGCATAGTAAGTGTGATAATAATTAAATTTAAGATTAAATCTTAAATTTCGTGTTGCTACACAATTATTTTAATTTGACAGTCCAGTGCCTTCATACAACTGGACAAGAAAAGGAAGTCCGTTACCTAGGGGATCCTATTTAACTAGCTATAACAGGGTATTGATTATACCTCAAGTACAAGTAGAGGATCAAGGTGAATATTACTGTCATGTTTTCAATGATCGAGACAGCAAAGAAAAAAGTGTTTCATTGTCAATTCAAGGTGAGCATATACAACTAACGACCTGACTGTTTGCCATTTTTCTTATTACTTACTGGGTTTTAGCCGAGCCAAATTTCACTATTCCGTTAGAAGACAAACACATGGATAATCAAGCAGATTTGACGTGGACTTGTGAAGCATTTGGTGTACCTGACGTAACATATAAATGGTTCAAGAATGGCGAACCACTAGAAATCGAAAAATTATCAATAGATGATCAAAAACGATATTCGATACAAGATAATGTGTTAAATATACGATATTTGGACGCAGAAAGAGATTCCGGAATGTATCAGTGTCAAGCTCGAAATACTTTGAAGACACGATATTCATCTGCACAATTAAGAGTTTTGTGTAAGTAACAATACTTACACAATTAACACTTAAATAATTTTTATCTTCAAATTTATTATTATAGCTTTACGCCCCTCTTTTAAAAAGAAGCCTGTAAAGCCCGAGGTCTACGGTGCCGAAGGTAAGAACGTAACAATTGAATGCAGTCCCGAAGCGGCACCTAAACCAAAATTTACATGGAAAAAAGATGCATACGTTATTGGTAACTTTTATTATTTGTCTATTTTGTCTGTTATTTTGTGTCTAACAGTTGTAATTGTGGTTTTTGTAGGATCTGGGGGGAAACGTCGTATTTTAGAAAATGGTAATTTAATCATTAACCCAGTAGGTAAAGATGACGAAGGTATTTACATATGTATCGCACAAAACATTTACGGAACAGAAGAAAGTCAAGGAAGACTCATTGTTATGCGTGAGTACTGTTAATTGTTGACATTTGGCAAAGCGTAGGTCTGTAAAAGTCTATAACCAAACAGTGGTTTCTATTATAAACAACTATTAAATTACAAGTTTGATAAACATGATTACTATAATGCTTTGCCATTGGTTTTTATGTATTTAAATTTATTTGTTCTTAAATATGTTATATTTTAATTACAGGAGGGCCTGTTTTTGTGGAACAACTTAGTCCTCAAATTCGCACAGTTATAAAACATGATATGTTGTTAAGATGCCAAGCTGTTTCCGATGAACTTTTAGATATGGCTTATATTTGGACTCACAACAGCATGCCATTGTTAAATTCAAATGCCGAGATGATAAATCATGTTGTAAGTTTAATAAATATTATAAAATACAGTATCAATGATTTTACATGGTCTATTCTTATAGACTATTAATGGAGGAGAGCTGTATATTCATAATATTACATTAGAAGATTCAGGCGAGTACAAATGCATTGTGCATAGCGTTGTTGGAGAAATATTTTCATCCACCACACTATTTGTAGACGGACCACCAGGACCACCTGGTAAGTCACTAACGTTTAGTAGAAATAAATTATTTAGCACATTTGAAAATGTCTGCATAATAATTTTATTAGGTGGAGTACAAGTAGAAGTCATAAAAACATCGGCTAAGCTACAGTGGACTGATGGGGCAGCGAATGGGCGACAAATTACACATTATATAGTCAGTGCTCGGACTAACTGGAATAGTACTTGGTACACAATAGCGACAGGTAAATAGTACTTACGATAACATTTAACTTTGTATTCCTCATATTTCCTTTGTTACATATATATGGTTTATTTCTAGATATTATTACCAAAGAAGTTGACAGGTATAATGGTCGTAAAGAAGCGTTTTTAGAAAATGTACTTATGCCTTGGTCTAAGTATGAGTTCAGAATGGTGGCTGGAAATGATATTGGATTTGGAGAGTTGTCATTACCATCGCCTCAAGTCAATACACCTCCTGACCGTCCATATAAAGCACCTAAAAACATCACTGGCGGAGGAGGAAAAATAGGAGATCTAACTATAATATGGAAGGTAAAAAATACTATTTGCGAGAAACGGTATTTATAAAAATATAAGCATATTCCAAATAAAATTTCTAACTATGAACTGGAAAAGTTATGTGAAAATCTATTAACATGAGTTTGTTATACACTTATTTTAAAAATATTTTTCTTGTTTTAATGTGTTATATTTTTATAGCAACTACCTCCTCAAGATCAAAACGGACCAGGCATTTATTATAAAGTGTACTGGAGACGTGTGGATCATGATAGTGAGTTTCAGTATGAAACTTTGCAAGACAGTGGTAATATTGGAATGGCTGTTGTACATGTAAAACCAGAATTTTTTTACACTCAATATGAAGTTAAAGTCCAGGTAGATTTTTAAATTGAATAAAGTATTTACTTAAGTAAAGTAGTTTACCTATTAGGTAAAATAAATAATGTATTTTTTCTAACCTCAGGCATTTAATTCAATTGGTGCTGGACCTATATCCGAACCGAAAATAATATATAGCGCTGAAGACATGCCTCAAGTATCTCCGCAACAGGTCTCTGCTTTGTCTTACAACTCTACTTCAATCAATGTCACCTGGGTTCCGATTGATCAGTCTCGAGAGTTACTACGCGGAAAATTAATAGGCCACAGGGTAGTATTTATTATATTTTATCTGAGACAAAAATATATTCTATTTTCTACAAGCTACGCCTTGAGATTCTCCCCAGTCTTCTTTCTCCGCCGTTAGCCTAAGAAACATCAGAATAATTTTCACACCCTGCCATTTTGATCATATTTACTATAAATGTTTTCCTTGGTTGACCTCTTACTTTACAACCGTTGGTACGTTTTTCTATTATATTAGTTAGAAAAACGTTATGTCTCAATAAATATCAGAATATTTTGACACTTCTTTGTTTTATAATGTCCATCATCATTCTTTTCTTTTTTATTTGTTATAATATTGTGTCATTACTTTTCCTTTCCATCGAACTTCTACAGAGAGCATTCGCCTCCAAATCTACATTTATATGACTTCTAATTTCTTTTTGTTTGGAACGGTGATTGTTCATGTCTTACAGCCTTACAATAGTATATTCTAAGTTTTGAAAAAGTTTTTCCTAGTTCCAAGCTAAAGACTATTATTTTTCTTAAGTTAACTCTTCTTGGCATGGTTGACGATCTGAGAAGCCATAGTTCATTTTCCCTGCGAGACCCCAGATTCCGATTCCTTTCATCGTCTTGTTCGTCTTTTTTTTCATCCTCGTATTTGTATGATATATATAACATTGTAGTCTTTCCTTCCTTTCCTCATCGCAGTTTGTGAGCCAGATTTTGTATGATCACCAAATCCTTTCATTGTTACTTCCCTCTAGGAAATCACCAATGGTCAGTTATAGTGGGTACCACTTCCCTCTGTTATCTCCTTTTAAGATAAGCAGGAGTTACTGTGGGCTTATTTTCCCTCAGGTCTTTAGGGACAAAAATATATTGGATATATTTTACATATTGTAAGTAATTTTTCAAATTACAGTTGAAGTATTGGAAAAAAAATGAACTTGACAGAGAAGAAGATGCTGTATACTATTTGAGCAGGTCTACAAAACCTTGGGCCCTCATTGTTGGTTTGCAGCCTGATACAGAATATTATGTCAAAGTAATGGCTTACAACTCGGCCGGTGAAGGCCCTGAAAGTGAACGTTTCATTGGTTAGATTAGTGTTACATTTTCATCATAGTCGTCTTTGACTTAATTTTCAAGTCTACTTAACTTGACAAATGTATTTTTCTTTTTAGAACGTACTTACAGGAAAGCTCCTCAAAAGCCACCTTCTGCTGTTATTATCGAAGGTGTAAATCCAGACACTATCCGTGTAAGCTGGCGATATGTCGCCCCAACACTAGAAGAAGAACCAATTAGAGGCTACAAGGTTTGTATTTGAAATAATTAATCTTTAGTGACTGATCAGTGAATTTAATTTATATATTTTTTTATGATACTATTAAAGGTGCGTATTTGGGAATCTGATCAAGACATGAGTACCGCAAATGATACTATAGTTCCTCTCGGGAACATACTAGAAGCACAGATTTCACATCTAACCACTGGCAAAATATACAAATTGCGAGTGTTGGCTTATTCCAATGGAGGAGATGGTCGTATGTCATCGCCAGCTAAAACTATCCAAATGGGTATGTATAATGTTTTTTCACTCATTGCTAGGTCTTCTATCTTAATAATTATTATTATCTTACCCTATGTACTAATAATAATTAGCTTAAATATTTTTTAATCTACTTACCTATTATTTGGATTAATAGAGGTGTAAATGTAATATGTGTAATATATATAATCAATTATTGGAATGTAGAAAAAATTCCTGTGTATAATAATGTTATTGACTTATAATTTGCACAAATACAATGCGACTCAACTCTAAGGCTGGATAAATAAAATTATGTCAAAATATAAGTATTTTACTCTACAAGTAAAGGCTTACTTGAAGTCTTAACATGTTAAATGAATTTAAGCTGTTTACTGTATGCTGAATTTGTCCTAACAACTTAAATTTTAGACTAGTTAAAAATGAACCCTCAGCATATTAATAGTTTTGCTATATCAAGTGGTTTCATTTGCAAAACTTTTTGCCTGAAATTATTTATTATGACATGTAAATTATAATTACAGGAAGTTTCAGTAAGTAATAAAAATAGTGAACATATTCTTCAGACAACAACAAAATGACATGTAAGTAGAGATGTGACAGTAATAGAAGCGTATGATTGTATTTGCGCATGTGAACAGTTTTAAACACTTTTTTTTAAAAAACAAGTTCACTTAAAATATAATTGTAGCTTATAAACTATTTAACAATATTGTGAGTTGTCTGTACACTATCACCAATAATGAAATATTTGAGTACAAAAATTAATTTGCATGTAGTTTTGGGATATATTCATATATATATATATATATATATATATATATATATATATAACATAATATGTATTATATTATTTTTCTTATTCACAAAATGCACTATGTTGACAGTTAAAATAATGAATTATATATTTTGTAGTTTATCCAAAATGTATCTGAACTTGATTGAATTTAGACAATAACATTTATTGGACTGTTTGTCTTATTCATCACAACATTTTTTTTATAAATTCCTTTTAAGTTCATATTTATTATACAGTTCGAGCAAGTCTTTGTAATGTATATTTTGATTTTCGTGCAATAAATCTAAACCAAAATTTTTTTATCCTGACTATATATCTTATACATTTTCAATAAAAAACTAGTCGGGTGTCGTTTTTAGTATTATTTTTTTACGTTTGAATTAGTGCTTCGGTAACTTTTTTTTTTTTTACTAAATCATTTTCCAGTTAGCAAACCCTCTCTTTTTTTGGGTAGGGGGAAGAATTAAATTGTTTAGAAATCGAACCCAGATTTGAAAAAATGTTGACGACAAGACTTGGGTGTCTTTTTGTTTTGCATTGTTGCTTTTGTGTACAAGACAGCCTCGGTCAGTACTAACATTATCATGTTAGTACTTACCTAATTTGAAATGTAAAATTAGTTAATAATTATAAAAAAATGTCCGAAGAAGCCAAATTAAAAAATTGTTTAATAGATGTATGTAATAATATGAGTATTGTGTGGAGACATATAGTATAGTATTGTCAATTTAACGTAGTCATTTTATTTTAATTAGTAAAAGCTTTAGACTATTATTTTTAACACATACAATTTTCTTTTTGAATAATAGCCATTTTTGGTGTTCAAAATGCTCTTGCTATATATGACTTTGACTTCTAGAACCTAATCAAGGCGTTTTTCGAGTTATTAATTTCCGCAGATAGATACAAATAAAACATGTTTAATATACGTACTTCGAAAAGCGGCTCGATTAGGTTATTAAAAAGAACTCAAACAAATTTAAGGTTTTTACAGGTTTGAAATCGGACCTGTGAGTCTCACAATTTTTTCACCGAAAGGTCTGAAACGATATTTCTCTGACCGACTAGAATGTCAGTGTTTCTCAACCTTTTTTAAAGCTGCCGCCCTCTGAGGTGCAAAAACTTTTTCAACGACACCCCCCCCCCCTCTTTGCGAAAATGGATTAAATTGTAAAATTAAAACAAATTGATAATAAAAAGAAAATTAGTATGCTTGAAAAATGTTTTGTTTGCCCATCGCCACTGTACCCGGAGGGCGTTATTGCCCCTTTTGAGAAACACTGGACTAGATCGACCCTCACCACAGTCACAATTTTATATATTAAAAAAAAAAAAAAAGGCATGAAAACTGTTTGTAATTGAATTATAATGATTTATAAGAAAAAATAGTTTAACTAACGTGAAAATCACATTTAAACCTTTAAATTGAAAAAGTAATTTTCTTAAATACTTAAGTTTTAGACAAAACAAAGGTTTTGAATATCTTTTTATGTATATCCAATAACAAAAATTGTATTATTGTTACTTCATTTATCAATATATTATGCGTAGTTGTAATGTAAAAACAGCATAATATTTTAAAAAATCATACCGCGTGAACGGGTTTAGATATATATTTTTTTTAATCGAGAAATCCTTTATTATGAAATATCATTGAGTATAATATATTGTATATTGAGTATCAATGATAATATGTATTATGTGTAAAAAAAAATGCTTGATAAAGTCCGAGACGCAAACGCCAATAGGATACGAGTTGGACTGATATTCCCATTTGTGCATGTTGCATATATATGTATTTATTTATTTGTAATTTATACTCAACACTGATTTTTAACCAGATTAATATTTTAAGACTTAAGTGGCTATTATTTGGTTATTTAGTTTACATTTTATAAACTCTTATATTAAAAAAAAATATTTGCGATTTTTAATAAAAAAAAATGTTTGAAACATCAATTATGATTTATGAAAGCCACTTAAAATATGGTCATTACTTTATTTATCAATGTTACTAAATTTAATTTCATTTTTGATGTGTAAGTTTTGAGACCTGCGTTTTAAGCCTGTTTTGATCAAATTACTTAGCAAATGAATAATTCAAATGTTTTATCATTAATAATCTATCATGATATTAGAACTTGCCTGTGATGTGAGATTTATTTTTGGTGATAAAAACGTTAAACATAACATTTAAAAATAATTTTATTAATATTTTTAATTATAATTCCTTTGTTTTCAGGTGATCCTGAATTGTATTCAGTTGGGTTGGCTACGAAAAACTCTGCTGTTTCTGTATTAATGTTAATGTTTGTTGTGAAACTATTGAATAATATGTTCTTACCACAATAGTAGCGCTTAATGCATGGCATGCACAATAATCTCATTTAAAATTCATAATTATTTATCTACTTTTACAAACAATATGTATTATAAATGGTATTATTAGCATTTAAGATTTTAATTTAGAACCAAAACCTTAAATGACTCAAGTTAACAATTTTTTTTTTACATAATATGGAATACTTGCTGTGTATACAATTAAATTAATGATTCTCTTTTTTTTTAACAATATTATACATTTTAAGATAATATTATATTATGATGCGAGACTCAATATTTTAGAAGTATTTAAATAGATATAAAAGTCATGGGAACTGTTTATTTGAAAATATAATAAAATATTCAAAACTTTTATAAATATTTCTAAAACTTGACTATATGACTTTAATTTATTTTAATTTTTATGTTTTTTTTTTATTTTTAATCAAAACTAATTTGAGATATGTGTTCATAAGCCATTTCATTTTCATTATTATATTTTTATAATGTATACATTTTTTTTTGTATTATGAGAAAGCTTTAAATAAGCACAAAATGATAAATTATATCCGTCCATTAGTATACTTTAGAATAAGAACACCATTAAATATATAATAATATATTTATGTAACAAATATGCATCTTTATTGTTGTGTATTTTTATTACTAAAAGATAACATTTTTTTTATTTTTTAAACAGCTTTTATAAATTTTTTTTTTGTACTACACATATTTATATTATTAAATTAATAAAACAAAGTTTTTTAGATATTATATAATAATATAAGTACCTGATTTTTAACTAAGCCACTTTGTTGTTTAATGGTACTATTAGACCTGATAACATATAAATTGTCATCCAAATTGTATCATGGGAGTAGGTAATGTAAATATTTACTATAATAAGGAGGTAAATATATGTATGGGTGTTATATCATTACCTAACGACCCAACTGTTAACAAATTTTCTGGACTTTTTACATCCAGTGTATACAAACTGAAACTGACAACCAACAGAATTAAGATCTTATTTATCGAAATGTTCTTGAAATGCAGCTTCAATACACCTATTTAATCAGTACTTTAAAAACACCATTATTAACTATATATATGAGCGTTAGGCGAATTTAAAATGTTACAAATTTCCAAAAAGTGTATCGTTTCTACAGTGGCGTAGACACAGGGGGGGGGGGGGTTTGGGGGTTCAACCCCCTAACCCCCTTACACTTAATTTGGCTTAATACTTAAATTTTTACAATTGTTCTTATGAGCCGTCGTAACGGCTGGCTGTTAGTTTTCGCGTTAGGGAGACAGGCTATAATAGTTCATTGAAAAGATAATTGGAGTTCTCTGATGTTTCTATTCACACTGACCTGAAATCGTGAAAATCGTAAGTAATCGTCATTTTGCCACGAAACGGCGAAAACATAATGTCGGGCACTTATTAATCGCGGCCCAATTTTTTTTTCTTTCCTCAGTCATTCCCATCATTAAATCCGTCCTTCTCTTCATTGTTGAGTCCGGCTTTGCCTTGTAATTGCTGTAATGAATTGTTTTTAAGTTGCTTGTCTTTGTAAATATCGTCCAGTTTGTACACATTAATTTTTAGCATCAATTCATACATTTATTAACTTATAATTGTAGAAATAAATAGTTTGTACTAATATTTCAATAAAAAAAAAAAAAATTCTTTTTTGGGTTTTCTGTGATATAATCTTTTTACTTGACAGTGATAAATTGAAAAAAAAATCAAAAAGAATTTAAATAAGAAAAACTAATTTATTTGAATGTTTTAATTAGATTCTTATGAAACAATGGGTTCCGCCTATTACTTATTCATTTCCAATACTAGTACAAAATAAAAAAAAATAAATTAAAATTTCAAAGTAAATGGTTTCTTACTTATAATTGGTTGGTTTATTCTGAATTGAAAGAAGGGTCATTCTGTAAATCGGTGTGATCAAGTCATTTTTCCGAATAAATTTCAACTACTTAAAATTGTATGCGTACTACCAGTATCCACTGCGACACCAGAAAGGTCCTTTTCCAGATTAAAAAGAGTAAAAACATAGCTTAGAAATACTATGAAAGAGGTAAATTGTAATCATGTACAATTTTTAATTGTATTTTAATCATCTAACTTATTTTAAAAAGGATCGTCTAAATAGCTTAGTTCTTCTAAGCTATTATCGAGATATCGTAATTACGCCTGAAGAAGTATTAAATGATTTTGCCAAAAAGCCAAGAAAAATAGGTATTTTGTTACAACTTATAAGTGTTAAAAAGTGAAATAAACTTGGTGTTATTTTTGCAATGCCTGAAAAAGTATTGGATGAATTAGCAAGTAAGCCAAGAAAAATACAAATTTTGTTATAAGTAAAATAAATTTAATGAGTTCTTTTTCCCAACCATAAAGCCCCCCCCCCCCATAAAAAATTCTTGTCTACGCCACTGCGTTTCTAGATATAGAGCTGACATAAATGTGAACACGGATGATATGCACCCTGCACCACCTGCGGGCCTAAATTAAACTCTGGACTAGGGAGGGCTCTTTACACATAAATTAGTTTCATAAACAATTCGCCTAGAGTTGCATAATATTATATTTTTCTTATTGGGAAAAATTATAAATTACTTTTACATTTTTGGTAAATTTTGATTTGAGTATAGCAATAGTAATCCTAGTATTTTCAATTTGTAACGGGCAACGATATTTTACCTTTGTTCTATGTGCAAAAAAAAGTGGAGTAGTGTTTTTTAAAATAAATTTTTACTATTTGTTCTTTATTTATTTAATATAGCAGCACGAATTACGATTCAAAATAACGTTTTTGCAATATTTACACAAATTAAACATAAATTTGGGTATTAAACCATACTTTAGAGTAAACCAACAGTATCTAATATATTTCTCTCTGAGCTTAGTTTTTCATTTTTAGAAATAAGTTCTATTTTTTTATACAATTTAAACAGTTACTGACATTACACTTATTTATATATATTTTGTTATTTAACAACTACTTTATTTATTTCAATAGGTACCTACAATCGAATATATTATATAATGTCCTAATGATATTATTTGTTTTGTTTTTTTATTTTTATATTAATTTAGCATATTTCATTTTTAAGGTTTTGTCAATACACATTGAGTAGAATAAATTATGATCTGATCTATTTTAATAAATTAAATATCGGTATTTTACGAATTTGTTTCTTTTTTTTAATTTTTGTTTATAACGTAAATATAAAATTATCAATGATTATTAACCACAAAAATTCGATGGGATGAGATACAATTTATTAATATTAGCAGGTTTCTCAATATAGCATTGCAATAACTAAAATGTTAATATTTTATTTCTTCTCCAGCAGAACTTGTGTTTTATTCCCAAACCATGTTTAAAAATTTCTTAAAGTAATTCAATGGTACAATTTGGGCTTTCAGTTGTACTAATTCGAATGCAGCCCTAGTTGGATTCACATTTTTTATCGACCATGACTGCATTCAGTCATGGTCTAAATGTTTAAATGTTTAAAATTACTATAGTTAGCGTTGAATATGTTACTTATAGCATTGAGTTATAGTTATCGTACTGACACATTTGGAAACAAAAGCACTCAACTTTCTACTATGGTAAATTTGTAAAATTTGTATACATTTTCAAATAAAAATAATTGTAAAATAGAAAGTCGCACCAGCAAACATTCGAATTACTATTGTTGCTTACATCCAATCGACTACGCTTTAGTCTGACTTACAGTTAGACTTAGATAGCTCACAGTATAATGATATTAAATATTATGTAGACATAAAAATATAATCTCACTGTTAAGCATTGAGACGGCACATACATAATTAGGAGTAGTTGTATAATATTATTAAAGACATTTATTTTGTATGTATTTGACATGACAGGCGGTCATAGTACCTGTCCATTTTTTAACGAACAGTTTTAAAGTTATTATAGTTTAAAATATTATGGACAGGAGAAAGGGTGGGGAGTTTTTTTTATCTGCGCGAATTACTCGGCCGCACTCCACCTACTATTATTATTTATTTATTTTTAAACTTACATTCTCTCTCTTACGTTCTACGTCCGTTTTTCCCGCCGATTGGGGCTTAGACGGTTGATTTGGCATTTTTAGGGTATATAGCTGGTTGCCGACCTATCGCTACCAAAAAAGTTGGCCCCAGAGAGAGGTGCAGGTGGCCATTTTTTCCATCAGACATTTGCCAGCCTGGAGGAACAAACCACCACGCGCCTGTACATTTTTAAACTTAAATTACATTGGAAATAATTATTCAAAACTGGTTATCAATCAATAAATAGTTTCAGTAAATTATTTTTGATTTAAAAATTCAATTAAATCTATGTATTTGTTACCATTTAAGTTTTGAAAGTTTCAAAAAGCAAGTATCATATAAGAAGCTAGAATACTTTTTACAGTGCAAAGGAATTATGAGGCCGATTTCTTCAAATTAAATACAAACACTATAAAATATTATTTTCACAGTATAATAGGCCGATGTGTATAGTATTCGTAGACCAGAATTGTTGAATCTTGGAAATATAATAATTTATAATAAATGCCATTCTAAAAATAAGAATTTTAGCACTTGAATCGCATTTAAAATCATTTAGAACAGTAATTCAGAATCCTAGGATATTATGTCATCAGTATAATATCAGTGAAGCATTAATTATGAATAAAGTGTACACAATCAAATTTTACGAAGAGTCACATGCGTTAGTTTTATTTCTATAGCAATAATTTAACCGGCATGCCTCAACAGGTATAGCTAAAAATTAGTGACTATAACATTTGATGATGCATGTGCCATATTGACAGTCTATCTACGTATATGTCGTTTATTTGTACAAAAGCACATAACAAATTATTTCTTTAGGTGGGCAAAAAAATGCTATTATTAATATCTACGCGTATGGCTAAGGCATTCGTTTGCTATAGAAACATATATAATATATATGCCATATTGACACCTGACATTTGTTTAAAGTCTTACAAAAGCGCAAAGGTGTAAGTCGATAAATCAATTTTCATTACACATAGACATTGGGGGAAAAGATATTTAGTTTTAGCACCAATGTCAAAGTAAATCATCTTTAAACGTATTCAAATAATTTACTATCAAATTGTGTCTTTGTTTTCGTCAAAAAATCTTTAACATGTTAATGTACGCCAGTTTAATTTTACTAATAAGCCTCAGTTTGTATGTTAAAACAAACATAAATTATAATTTAAAACAATGTTATATCTCCAAGCTCATGTTGTATTTTTTTAAAACTAATGAAACTTCTTTCAAAAAATCCTTTGTCATTGACAAAAGTACATTTTCTATTGAAGATTTAAAAATTTACAGCGTTTATCTACAACAAAGCCTAAGCGAACTCGTCTTGGCAATGCTCGAAGAACTTAATACTGACAAAACAAATAACGGTCTGCCAGAAGATTTGATGACGATAAATTTATACTTGAACATCGTCCTGGGAACGTTGTTGGTAAATCATTTCGACGGCATATGTATATCTGAAAATACCCAGCGCCATCTGCCCTATAAAGACAATTTTATACGTGGCTATATTACCATTCTCAACGTCATCGTGAAAAGTATTAACAACATTTGCCCCAAGCCACATCTGTATAATAGCAGTTTTGTAGATGATGTGGTTCAGAAAAATTCGTTAACCAAGTACCATTCGGGGGTTGATCCGAAATCAAAGAATGGTGTCCGCTATGATGAACTTAACGATTTGTTGCCGAACTGTTATAAAGACTATAA